TTAAAGAATTTTGGTATCTTAGGCTTATAAAAAATGAACTAGTGACATTCTTATGCTAAGAAGGAACTTCAAAAGTGTCTGAATGCAAAGCAGGTGCACAGTGCCTTCTTGATCTTAGTGAGCTTTGAGAACAGGTTTTCCTAAGACTACTTCAGAGCTCCTGATCCAACCCCATGACCACAGAGGCAATGGTGGAGATCAGAGAGGTTCTTGGCCCATTGTGAGCCTCCCTAGAGGAACAGAGATTATACTGAGACCTGGGAAGAGAGGCAGGGGTACTCCTTGCTGCTCCAGGGGGCAAAGGACAGGGCTGGCTTTGCTCTGTTGATGCAAAAGAAGGCAGTGGTAGCAGTGGCTCTGGGTCTGGCCTTGATAACATGAAATTAATGTTTAATGCATAGAGTGCCTCAGCGTGGTTTAGGGTTGCTATGGAAGGTGTTGGAGGAAGGTGGAAGATAGGAAGGTGCCATGACTGCTGCACGTGGATGCAGACAAGCCCATGTTCTGGCTGCCAGTTGTATGTTGCTTTAGTCCCTGAATTGACACAAAAGGTAACTTAGTAATAATTAAAATGATCACTAATTTTAGTAATGCATTTGTCTTTGGTAAGGGCAAGTATGTAGGTGAAATAGCAATAAGCATAGTATATGACATTTGCAGTCTTCAGTTGTGGTCAGGCCCTCCTGAAATTACAGGTAAGAAAAAAAAATTAACAAAAAAGTCAAATAAATACATCCAGTGATTTCTGATTGCTTGCTATGTTACCTTTGCATTTTGCAAAACACTTTTCCTCTCCTTCTATTTCCCATCCCTACCTCCAAGACTTGTCATTCTTGGTGGAAGTGTCATGCTTCCATCACCCAAATGTTCTTCTAGCAGTTCTTGTTAGTGTAGCTTAGGTTTCTGCTTTCAAACTGCAGGAGACAGAGCAGTGTATTTCAGTTGTAATTTATAAAAAAATTGCAGACAGAGTGACTTACTTCATTTTTAGTTCTATGTCTTTGCAGCACAAGGAGTGTAGCCCAGTGGCTAGGACTGGCCCATGTCACAGAATCATAGGCTGCTGAAGCTGGGGCCCTTTTAGTCTTACCCTCTGCTTCAGAAGGGTCAGCCACTGCAGGTTGCCCAGGACTGTGGTCAGCTGGGTTTTACTTACTTTGAACATGCATAGGTGGTACTTCTCTGCCTTCTGCAGTGAAATGTGAATATGACTAATCTAATACTGTAGCAGGAAGTATCTGAGAGCAGTGACAGGTCTTTACAAAGGTCTTTGCACTCTGATTTGCTTCCTTGGATCTCTTGAATACCCTCTAGTTCTTCAGCTATTCAAAGCCTATGTTTGCTCATTTTCTTTTACCTACTGTTTCCACCCCAGCTAAGACAAACTATGTTTAACCAAACATACCAAACCAAACCAGAGATGGCCTGGTGAAGATGTGTGTGGGAAATTCAGGACTCCTGGACAACTGACCAGTATGATTAAGCAGAAGCTGCTTATTGTTTACATTATGCACTTATTTATACATTCTAACTCTACTACCCACGCTGATCATGCATTTTTTATTGGTGCCTTTGCTTGTCCACGTGTTTTGCATGCGCTTCTCAGAATATGTGATTGGTTACAGCCCAGGTGGCTCACAGCTCTCTGGTATCTACTCCTTGGGGTCTTGGAATTCGGTTTCTCAGCTTCTTCTTTCTTATTTTAGCACAGTTTATGTCTTAGTAACCTTGATGAATTCCAGAGAACCCTGAGAAAATTCTGATAAGAGCAGTTACAAGCGAAATGGCTGTTACACACTGTTGTCTAAGTGGTTCAGATACATTGCTACAGATCTGTCTCTTGAGATCCAGGTATTTGAGATACAGATGTGAAAGGAAAATAGTGTAGACACTTCTGAAGTATTCTTGAATCTGCTCATGCCTGTAGGACCAAGAAATACCTGTTGTATTATTCTTCATATGCAATACAATATCTGCTTTATTTGAAAACATCCTTGTTTAGATTAAACAAATGCTCGTAAGCTTAGTTTCTCTGGTTGTTTCTTAAGTCTGCAGGGAGTGCAGCATATTCTTGCTGACTTTTCCTTCTTGAACCCTGATAGTACCTTGTTCTAGTTCTGTAGCTTTATCTGGTCTTTTCTAATTACTTTTTTCCTGGAACCAGCTGAATCATACTGAGCTTTTCCCTTTTAAGACTAAGTCACTGAATTTCTACTTTTGTTGGACCCACTCATACCGAAAATGGTGTGAGTACATTTATAAAAACAACTGCTTTAAAGATATAGGAGGTTTGTAATAAACAGTGGAGAAATACCTTTTTTTTGCTGGGAAAGCTGACTTCTAGCACCTTAGAGAGCAGATTATTGTAATGAGTTCAATGAGCTAAGTTTTTATACTTTTTGCTACCTTATGTCAAAAAAGTAATGTATATGAGAAGCCTGATAATCTTGCTGCATGCTTGGAAAGCAAATTTTGCTTTCAGAATAATAAATCTAGTCAATAAAGCATGATTGTTTTTCTTTCATTGACTCTCAATTTTATTTATTGCTCTGTTAAAGCATTTTTTACATGAGCTTGGCAGTCAGCAATCTGATCATAAATTATTTCTCTGTGAAGCTTGTGTGCAAAATCCCTTAAAATAGCAATGTCAGTGAAAGCACACCCTTTTACAAAGGTTTCCTCCTCTTGAGTGAAGCTGCTGCAGCTGAAGCCATTCTCAGTTCCTGAACTGAGTTTTATGCTGGCAGTAGGAAACTCTTCATATAGCCTCTTTTCTTCTCCAGGTAAAATTTCAGCTGCACTGAAGCATAAAGCTGAGCTTATGTGCTTGTTTTTCCGGGCATGAAATATACACAAACATGTGTAACATATACACAAACCAGTGTAATGTTCATTGTGTTAGTGCTATACCTTATCACTAACAGATGGTGTTACCAGTTGGTGATGGTTGCTACTCTGGTAGAGTGTTTTGAGAAGTGTACGTTTTCAGCAAATTCCTCTGCCTACCCTCTTGGAGTTAGACTACGAAATTCTAATCAGGTCCTGTCATAGGCATACATCCCAGAGGACTGTAGCCTGAGAGATGTAAGTGCTTGAGAACACCAGCAAACTAGAATTCAGGTTTGAGGAACAGCTATGCAAATGCCTGTTAAAATTCCTTATGAGTGCTTTGACCTTTTTTTGCCTGTCAATACAGAGGTCTCTTGGTGTAGTCTAACCAAAGGAGTAACTTCAGAAGTAACTGGCATTTGTGCCTTAGCACCTGCTAACTTTACAGGGGTTTGTAAAATTATATTGCAAATTGAAGTAGACCTGCAAATATTTTACATTCTGTGAAGTAGTTTCTCATAATCTAACAGCACTGTGGTCTCCACTTGAAATAAGGAATACCAAGTAAAATATCCTCTTGTTTTCTATTCAAGATCTATACCTACTTATTTTATTCAGGAGATTTTAAATGTGCTTTGCTTGTGCACCACAATAAAGCCATCAGTCACCTCTGTTTCCATGAAAGGGCTTGTCAGAGACCAGGTAGGTCTGTTTCCTTACTTGGCTGTGAGCAAGGTGGTTTTAGTTGAAGTGTTACAGTATGGGAATCACTTCTTAGACTTCAGATTTCAGTTTCTGCTGTACCAGTTTAGTTGGCCAGAGTGCACTTATCTTTTTTTATTCCATTGATGTCGCCAGGTATATAAGCATTCATCATTCCTGATATTAGACTCATGACTTGTCTTAACTTGGTCTGTCATGTACGTGAAAGGTACATTCTGCTTCTAGTTTGATTTTGATATTTGTTGTTATTCCTCTCTTCAGACTGTGCAGTAGCTGGTTCTGATGCCGCTTTGGTGGTTACATTCTTAGAGGAAAAGTCAGACATATAGTGCTTTATGTAAATATCTTCTGAATTAAGGTAGTTTCTGTTCGGAAATAACAACTGCTCTGGCTGGCTTGAGCCTCAGTAGGTAGAAAAAGTCATCCAGCTTCTGTGGGGCTGAAGCAGTATATTTAAATGTATTTTTCTTGAATAGCTGATAGCTACTTTCAGGCTTTTTTCTTATTCCATGCTTCAGTGAAGGTAGGGATGGTGAACAATTAGAAACACCCCAAGCAGTTGTTAAAAAAAAAAAAAATTAGAAACACCCCAAGCACTTGTGTTACAAGCCTCTGCTGCTGAGATCACACCACTACATTTGTGCTGTGAAATCAGCACATTTCTGTCTTGGTGTGTTTGCAGTTAGCTGGATAAGCAGCAGTACCTCTAGCAGCTGGTTTGATGCAGCAAGAAACAGTATTCTCTTTCCTAAGGACTGAAAATACAATCTAATCTCCCTGTAGTGGAGACCCCATGGTTGTGCCAGCTGCATTTAGCAGTGTTTTAGGAGGTTGAAAAACTGCTCAAGATCAACTGTGCTAATACCTTAACCACCTCCATACTGCTAACCCTTGTGAGAGGGAAAGGGTTTGGGTAAGGTTACGGGTTAGGGGGAAAGGGTTAGGATTAAACCCATGACAATTAATTTTTAATGCCAAGATATTAACTCCATTACACAATAGCTTTCATAATGGCCTTTGTGCTCCAAGGCTTTTCTTCACACTTGAATCTTGTATTGGAGCTGTCCTCCAGCTTATTTTGTGGTTCAGTGGAAAGAAGTGTGGGAAAGAATATGCTGTGGATGGCACTAAGGAAACATGCAATAGCAGTGGCAAGAATAAAGTGCATTATTGGCTGCAGGAATGTATGTTCCAAGCCTTCAGGTAATTTCTATAGAGCAAATTTTTTGTGTGGTTCTTTTTTTTCTTCTGAAAAGATGTATGGATAGTGACCTGGAGAAATAGAAAGAATATCTGTCTTCAGCCCTGATTCAAAATATTCTTCTAGATTGACTCGGGAAGCAGAAAACATACCTCATGATTGATCACAGACATGTTTATGACTTTATTAAATGTTGTGTTTGAGTAAGAAAAAGCAGTGTCTTTATAGTTTCTTTTATCTTCTACAGGCCAAGATGACTTCTTAGGAGATGCACTTTTGGAAGGTAGGCAGGAAAATTGTGGCTGCTCTTTGTACTTGTTGATTTCTATGTATTACTGCCTGACCAAGCATGACAACTTTGCCACATATGGTTGGTTTAAACCTCAGTGAAACAATTCAGCCATGTGTTTGTCAAGATGTTGACCACATAGAACTCAAATTTGTCTTTTGAAGAATTAGATTTCTCCTAGAGGGGAAATTGATTTATAGATTTATTGCTATATAGATTTGATCTTGTGCATTTTGATGTATAGACATGTACTTAGATTTGTTCTTTGTCCTTCATGTAGCTTCTGAAAAGAGTGTTAAATAGTACTTGACTATTTAATTATTAGTATTTATTTGTTATTTATATTTATTAGTGTGTTCATGGTTATTTGATGATTGTTTATTATTTATATATATTATTTATTAGTATTTATTGATTTATTTAAATTAGTATTTAATTATTTTTCCCTAACAATACCTGACAGAAAATACAAAGAAGCCTCCTGTAACTCAGAAGACACCATCATCAGATGCAGGTGAGATCTAATTGGCTTGTAATGCCTTTTACTGTAAAATCAAGTGTAGTACACCTACCAATTTGAGATCCTGAATTTTTCAATTTAGTGGCACACAGGGTTGTGATATTTCTATAAAAGAAAGCAGTTCCCTAACAGCAGAAAGATTTCTTCATTTTGAAATCTGCTCTCAGAAATGTGTTTTGTGATTTCACAAGCTTAAAAACCCTGTGAAAATGCCTTCCCATGTCTTTCAGTCTACATGTTTGGAGCTTGCTTACCTTGAGCAGGCCCTCAACAGGTCCCATTCATCTCCAAAAGCAGCAAGTCACTTGGCACATAATCCTGGTAACTTTGTAGGGCTTTTCTGTGAGTGGCTTCACTGATGAGTGAGCGTGTCTTTCATTTGTGCAGAAAAGGTTGTGAGGTCCATTTTATTTGAAAAGTAGTCTAAGAGTAGTTTTTGCATTACATTTAAAACTTCCCTTCTTTCTTTATAGATGACTTTGACTTGTCTGATGCTCTTGATTTTGGTAAGTATCCTATTTTCCTGGATACGGCTCAAATGTACCTGGTACAATGTCTATCCATCCTTTATGACCCAAGTATAATAAGGCACTGGGTTGATTAAGGTAGCAGACTGTGGATAAAAAATAACTGCAGTCTAGTTATGTTTGTCAATCTTAAGGTTCTGAATCAACAAAATTGTAGGAATTTCAATAATTTTTTAGCCAGCTTCTTGTTTTGTTGCTGTTTTTTCACTAGATGGCACTAACTCCATAAACTTACTTATGGAAGTAAATGTTAATTCCAAAGTAATCTCTCCCATTTCAGGAAGTATTTTTAGTAGTACAAGGAAAGATTAATCTGTTATAAAAAATTAGAAGGAAAGTACTCTTTCTAATGTGAAGGTTGTGACAAAACTGTACAGAGATAATTTCTAAGATCTCTTATTTTCCTATTTTATGGTAAGCCAAATGACATGTCATTGTGGGGACCTAGTCTAGTTCTATTCTCTGTACTTTTTTCTCTATTTTTCAAGTGAGGTACCAGGCTTTGTATTCGGTTAAAACCTGGTAATTTCAAAAGAGAAAACAACCAAGTAATTGATACCTGGTAGAAAAATTTAAAGAAGATGTGCAAACTAAAATGGTGATTAAGAGTTAATGAGTTTTTCTGTCTATGTTCCATCCTAGCAAGGATCTGACATACTGGTTAATGTAGCAGGAAAGCCCTTATTGGCATTAAAACAGAGTATTTAGCTAAGACAACCAAGGAAATACAGCATTAGCTAATGAAAGGAAAATTACATGGGCAAGTTTTGATATTTTAGGTCAGATCATCTTTCAAGGTTACTCCATGCTCTGCTTTTGGTTTCTTCACACTAGTAATTTTGCTCAATTTATTCTAACTCTTATTTGTCTACAGGCGATTCCAAGCCACATCCCCCTGCAAATCCTAGAGACACTGGTAAGACTGATCTGACAGGAATTTCTGAACAGTAAAAGAGTATTTGTTAATCTCTTCTAGTCCCTTTGAACATTATGGTATTATAGTCTGGTTTTGTTATCTTAACTTTTTTTTTTTTTTTTTTTTTCCCCCTAAATCTCTCTTCCGTGATTAGATAACCCCAAGCAAGATCAACCTAAAGGCTCTGGTAAGGCTTCTAGCACAAACTCCTGGTTTTACTGTCCCAGTTACACTTCTAATAATTGATCTTTGTTAATTGCCTGCTATGTATGTCAGGTGTGGCATACGTCAAACACTGAAGATTGAGAAAAAGTTGTCTTGCAAATAAGCTTTGCACCAGTCTTGAAATTCCATAACAAACCTGTTGAGTTACTTTCACTTAAAAATAGGATGATGTGGGGAAGAGGCGGCATAGGACAGTGTGTGTGCGTGCTTGGGGCAATGCTGTTCTTGGCTGCCTGTGGCAAAGCACCCAGGTATTGAATTGAGTTCTTTCTTCTTTACAAACTGAATCCCTTCCAGTTATGCTCAAAAGTAAGTAGCAATTGCCTATGATCTTTGTTCTTAAAGGTTCCAAATTAAAGGGAAAGCTCCAAGTTAAAGGGTTGCTTCTTTTTTTTTTATTTTATTTAAAGGCCCCATAAAGGCCCCATTAAGAAATACAACTATTTATATTTGAAAGATAGGTTTAAAATACATGTCCTTTTCTGCCTGTTCTGCTTTAGAGGTCCTTTCTCTTTGCCTAACCCAGAACAAAACAGATTTAGAAGGATGCAGGTGTGATGATGCCATTAATCACAAACATGGTGGAAAAGAGCCCTGGAATGCAAGCCTCAGTTCTTGTTCTTTCACCTGATTTGCAGGAGACTTGAATGTGATTCTTCCATGCCTCAGTTCAGTGCTTTTGGCACCCAACTAAAACATCCTCTGATGCAATACTTTCAGATTTTCTGCCTGAAAAACTGATTTGCATTGTGTAAACTAAATATTCACTTGGCAGCAGAGGGAAGGAGAAGTTGCCATGAGGGAGACAGAAAGGCTCCATGAGGTAGGGTACATTGGAAATGGAGAGGGACCACTTCAATGTCCTGCGATAAATCAGAGTAGGGAATTACATTTGGACTGTTTGAGACTTAGAGACCCAACTCTGAAGAATCATTCACAGCTGCAGCCTTGAAGTAAATGGTCCTTTTCTGTTTACATTGTTTCTTTGCTGTCCCAGGACAGTGAGATTTGGGCTATTAGAGTTAAGCAGCTTATAGGGCTCCTTGCTTGCTTAACCTGATTTGTGCAGTACTACCTGCTCTTGGACACTGACTTCTTTCCGTTGTTCAGGAAGTCCAGAGAAAGGACTGCTGCCGTCAAACTCTGTAGTGCTGAGCTGAAGGGACATGACATTGTGAGGGCTTTTAGAAGGTTAAATGTTCTGGCTCTGGTACTGAGCCTAAAACCACCACAAATTCAGTTGAATGGTCTTGAGAAAATTTCCATCTTATTATATATCTTGGTATGTCTTATTCACTGAACTTGAAATGTGGTAATGTTATTTGCATTATTTTATAGACAAATTTGATGATTCAGATCTATGGGATGGCAGTTCCCCAAGAGGAGGAAGTGATGGCAGTGGCAGCAATGGTAAGATAGCAGGTTGTGCTTCCTATAGTTTCTATGCCTACCTGAGCTTTTAATTAAAGCTTGCTCACAAGCTGGTTAGACACTGTAATTGTAATGCATTTGGTTCTGGTATCTGAAACTTAAGAGCATACTTTCAAGTTCAAAAGTAATGTGTTCTGTGTCTGTCAAAAAAAAGCCCCACATGTTTAAGGGGCTGGTCTAGAGCAAAAGTTTTCAGTGATTTTTGACTCATATGCTAAGAATGATGGCTTCTAAAACTGAAATGTGAATGCGGTACTTACTTAAAAATTCACCATGAATATAGTTTTTAAGGTCACCCAAATGCTATTTTGGATCTTTTATGACATACTCCTAGTTTCTTTTAATTCTTGTAGGTAGGAAGCCTCAAAATGGGCTAGAAGAGGATCCACCTTATGTTCTCAAAGATTTCCTTTGGCCCACAGGATGAACTGATATTTACACTTCCAAATGATCCTTAGTCTTCTACTTCTTTAGTGGTGGTAGTGAGGCAGGTGAGGAGGTGAGAAGTTGTGGATGCTCCATCCCTGGAAGTGTTCAAACCAGGTTGGATGGAAGTCTGAGCAACCTGGTTTAGTGGAAGGTGCCCCTGCCTATGGCAGCGGGTTTGAAGCTCAGTGATCCCTAAGGTCCCTTCACCACCATATGATTCTGTACTCTGAGCAGTATAAAACCATTTTCTAGCTTACCAGTTTTTTTTTGGTAATTTGCTATGTCTAATTAGTGTGTTACTGCAATTTCACTATTTCCAGATCAGAATTAGTTTAAGTATCTTGATGGGGTTTGGGATGTGCTAATGGTTACTGACTTCTTTGGAGAGTTGTCCTGGATGGGGACTACTGATGCCACTTTTTTGGGTAGCTGCCTCCTTTCAAGGTTCCTTCGGGGCAGTACTTCAAAATTGGAAGGGGCAAGAAACATCTGTGGAGATTTGTGTGGTGGTTTCATCTGCACAGGTTCCTGCCCCAGTGGTACAAGTTGCACAGTGACAAATAGAGTTAGTATTTATAGAATTTCTGGCTTGCTTGTGAAGAGAATTACAAAGGTATTTTTTAGATGAGGCTGGGATTTTAGGAAAATATCGTTGGTTCCATGGAAATACAGCTGAATGTTACTCTGAAATTATATGTGTTCTCTGGTGGTGCACAGGCTCATTAAACCAGATTTCACAAATTTTATTAGCTGATCACTCAAGGCGGCAGTTCATCACCACACTGAGCCATGCTTTGAAAACAAAGTTTCAGGGCAGTTTAGCACTGTATGATCATGATAGATGGGTTTTAATTTTGCATAATTAATTGACAAAATGTTTCTCAATTATGATATGAGTGTTCTTTAGATACACAAAATGTAAACTCTCCATTCACTTTTACAGAACGGAAGGGCCCAACTCCAAAAACTGGCCAAGATGAGGAGGGTAAATGCATGAATGTGTGTGTATAATGGTGTTTAGATGTATGCAGTTTGTTTTCTTGGGGTTGATTCTTGATGATTCTTGCTAATCTTCTGCTAGAATGGTCACTACTGGGAGTGGGTTACAATTAAAAAGCTTTTGTGCAGTCTGGAATTCTTACTCTAAGTTTTGCTTCCGTAGTCCTTTAACATTTCTGTGTTACAAATTATTCCTAAGTGTTAAGGTCTTAGAGATGCTGGTGCAGTGATTGCATGCATACAAAGTAGATATGGCTATGATAGAGTTGCTTTTCTAATTAGTGGAACTTAAAACAGTCATGCTTAAGTTCTTAAACAGTGGTCATTGCTAAGAAATCAATGGTCATAAAATGAAAGGATTCACTTTTCATTGTGCTCAGAGTTGATTATTACAATTTCATGTAATTTCAGTGTAATGTTTCTTGGAAGTATTCACAGTGTTTACTTTGAGAAAATACTTTGATGTGGCTTTCGGTTCTGAAAAATGTTTATAAACATCTCTGGTTTTTTTCAGCTTCTCAGGGAGCAATAGCTGGAATTATAAGTGCTGTAGGTGCTACAGTAGTTGCATCGGTAGCTAGTTTCATTGCTTACCAGAAGAAGAAACTCTGTTTCAAGCAAAGCGGTAAGAGTTCCAAATCAGTTTTGTTTCCTACTGTCTTAAGAGAGGCATTTTTGTATTTATATGTGGACTATAAATTGATCCTATGCAAAAGGTAGTTGTAATAACCCAGTGAAGTTAGGTTTACAGGGAGTAACCTTTCCTACTAGTCATCTAAGACTGATGAATTCCTTGCCCAAAAATTTATTTTTCTGGCTAAAAATAAGCAGGAGAAGACTGCAAAAAATACTTTTTAAGGAGAATCAAGTGAAGGTTGGGATTAGAGATTTTCATACCGAAAAATACTTTGTAGTTTCTAATTTTGTAAATTTTGCCTTTGTGTCTTCAAAAGATGCTTGCCTACTTACTAGTTTTATAACAACTTAGTCCAATATTCCACCCCAAATTATTCTTCTGCAGTTATCTATTGCTTGCTTCGTTTCCACCTAAATAAGATATAACTCGGATCAGAGAATTTTGGGATGATTTGTGGATGATAGGATGATTGATTTTGTCTTTCTGACTGCTTAGTGAAGGGATAGAGCAATCATTCAGCCAGGCACTACTGTTTTAAAATTTTGGAAGTTTAGAAACCGCAAAACATCTCTACCATGTATGTTAAAATTAATGTGCAGATGAAACAGAGCAACTCAAGTACTATCAGTAGCCCATTTTTTTCACTGCTGTTTCTTCTCTCAAATTCTCTCTATTTATCAAGAAAATATAAGAAAATTTGAATGCTAAATATCTGGGTTTTTTCCCAGCAGATGAAGAGAATGTGAATATGGATAGCTACAGAGGAGCACAATCTGAGCCACCTGGTAAGACAAGAATCTAGATGGAAGATCAGCTCTTCACTGGGGATCCTATTAAATGCACTTTATTGACAGCTAACATACTGGAGAAAATGAATTGTACTGTTATGTTAAAAAAAAATGGACAGTTTTTGCAGAATATGAGCTAATGGTGTGCCTTGGTAGCCAAGATGGCCGGTGCTGATATTACTATCAGCAATAGTGTGGCCACCAGGACCAGGGCTGTGATTGTCCCTTGGCTCTGCTGAGGCCACACCTCAGGTGCAGTCCAGTTCTGGGCCTCTTACTCCAATAAAGACATCGAGGTGCTGCAGCATGTCCAAGAAGGGTAATTGATAGGGGGAACAGTCTGTAGTGTTATGAGGAGTGACTTGGGGAGTTGGAGAGGTTTAGCCTGGAGAAAAAAAGACTCGGGTCATCTTTTCACTCTCTGCAGCCACCTGAAAGGAGGTTGTAGCCAGGTGTGTGTCAGTCACTTCTCCTAGGTAACAAGTGATAGGACAAGAGGAAATGGCCTCAAACTTTGCCAGAGGAGGTTTAGATGGGATATTTGGAAAAATTACTTCATGAAGAGGTTTGTCAAGCATTGGAACAGGCTGCTCAGAAGCTCCTCAGGAAGGCAGAGGAGTTGTCATTTGTGGAGGAATTTAGAAGATACATAGGCATGGCACACAGGGACATCGTTTAGTGGTGGACTTGGCAATCCTAGGGTAAGAGTTAAAGTGGATAATCTAAACTCATTTCCAACATAAATGGTTCTCTGAGTCTATGGTTTTACCATCTCAACAAAGTTAAAACTGAATCAAGCATTCAGTTCTGACAATATGGCCACTTTTCTCGAGTATTTTTATTAAACAGATTGGTTTATTGCCTTGAGAATGCATTGAAATGTAGGAGCTTAGAGAAAGTGAAGAATTGAATTTTCTCTGCAAAATTATAATTAAAGGCAATTGTGAAAACACAGGCCTGCTCCATCAGCGTGATGAATAACTGCCGTTGGAAGTTTATTAGTGTATATTTTTTTCTGATTAGAATCTGAAATGTTTTCTATTATAAACTGATACAGAACACTGCAAGAATATATATTAAAAATTTTGTGAGATTTGGACAGAGATAAAACCACGGTGGACGCAAAGAGGACTGAACTCACTAGCATGTTGTAATTAAAGCATTCTCTGTTGTGAACGGAGAATATTCTTATATGAAAGAACCATCACATAATTAATCTTTCTACAAAGGTGAGAGCTGTGGAAGAATCTCTTTTAAAGCAACAAACACTGAGAACCTCACCTTCCATGTATGGTTGTATAGGGGATTTGGCTGATGGAGCAGATAATAAGCTCCAGGAATCCATGGATGGAACTGGAGGAAGTGGTATAGGTGAAAAGTTGGTCTTCTAGCCTTTTTGACTGGTCAACAAAGGAAGAAGCACTGTAACCTCATGCTGAAGTTCACTGGTTTTGAAGTACTGAGTATTAAAATCTCAAAGCAGTATATATTTGCACTATATTCTTCTGTGAGTTTAATCTTAAACCTGCAGAACTATTTCTGGGTTTTTAATAATTAAATAATTATGCCTTATTTCTCTCAGGTATTTAATCAGTTTGTTACATCTGGTTCATTATCTTCTTTATGAACAGTTTAAGCTGTTAAATGTATGAAACTCTCAAGTACAAAACATTTTCTTGTGATTGGCTATAAGGACTGAAGAAACTCAGTTATCCTCAATTCAGATGTGCATTAGGGAAGCAAGTAGTATCATTCAAAGTCCTCTACCAAAGGCAGTTAAGATATAAGCTGTAGTTGGGTTATGCTAAATTTCTGGCCAAGATTCACCACAACTCAAAAGTGAAATCCATCAGGTGATGCATACCTTATTTTAACCAGTAAAGTCACACTTGGGATGTTATCAGATGTGCTTACTGCTACCTACATATTGATGTCATATTATGTCCCAGATTTCATACTTCTGTTACGTTTTGCAGACACGCATGATCATGTGTTGAGCTCAGAGACTAGGCAGCCATGGTCATCATGGTGCTGCTCCTGATCTTACTTCTGGGACTCAGCAGATGATAGGTCTGCGTCTGGTAATAGATACACCTAGATGGCTTCCAGTAAGAAGCAGTCTCTTTATTAAGCCAGGTCAAATGGCATAGCAGAATAGGTCTGTGTTGTTAAAATGCTATCTTTGACTTCCTGAACTTAGGAGCTTACTTTCAGTAGCTTTCTTTTTGTATGAACAGCCTGTTTGCATCTGCAAGAACTGCAAGCCTGAACTGAGTGCTGGGTTACACTGCAAGTGTAGATAGCTTCCCTCTGGTTATTTGAGTGAGAAATCTGGAGTGTAATATCCCTTGCTATGCGGCCTGTTGGCTTCACAGAATCAAGTCTCTGCTTTCCTAAATTTATCACACAGTGTCAAACATCTCCTGAAAGCTGTTGACTGCATAAACTGTTACATAGTAATGTATAACTTACATTGTGTGCTAAATGCATAGTATGCTAAGTGCATAGTGCACTGTGCTTACTGCACTAACCTTGAATTGTTTTTCACTTTTCAGTTCAGCGCACACTTCTGGAGAACTAAAAGAAAGAGTGGTGAAGAACAGATCTTTGGAACTGGATAAGCAACCTGCATTCTGCCAATAAAAAAAAAAAAGGAAACAAAAAAAGCATAACAAACAGCAGAGCCTGAAGTTTCATGAGAAAACAGCTCTTGTTTGAAACACCTCTGAGACTGTGACTTAGACCTGAGTACTTCTGTATGGTTAGCCCTGTGAAGCATTGTTGCACACCAACACATGGCCTTAATGACAGGAGTGTAGATGTATGTTGTGCCTTTACATTCTTTCCTTGACTCCTCTGACATATAGGTGTGTCTCAAGTGCATTCAGTGTGTTTAACTTTTCCTTACCTCTCCAAAACCAATATGCAATTATGGTTTTTGTTATGTTAATGCTCTCAGGCAATACAAATATTTTTTAAAATAACCTGGACTCAGTGAGTGGACCAACCAACCAACTTGGTGTATGTTGTGGGCATGAAAGCAAATGGCTCACTGTGTATGGATGGTGGATCTGGGTATGGGTGCTGCTGATCCAATCTATGTAGCTGCCTGGGCCAGCTGCCATGGAAGAGATGCTTGTGCTTGAGCATTCAGGAGACAAAAATTCTGGTTTATTTTTAGATTTTTTTTCATTTTATCTGTCTGGTACAGATTGAGAAAACCCAAAGTTAATGCACACCTTAAGCCTTCATCCTTTCTGGCTCTTCCTGCTTAGCAAGTACTGAGCTGGTCAGTTGTGGAAAAGCTTGTCTTGCAGATCAGAAACATAATTGGACTTTGTATTTCTGGTGACATGGATGTTTGGCATCACCTAAACAGTTGTGGATGAAGTACTTGGGAATGGGGATTAACATCTTCAGACTTCCATAGCCAAAAGCTTAAGTGAAAATAGTGTTGAATTCAGAAGGCTTATCATACATGTGTAAGGGACAGAAATAGTACCACATTTCCAAACTGCAAACAGCAAGACTGACCAGAGCAAGGCATCCACTGAACAGTAGAAATAGCAGACATGTGAGAAGTGCTTTTGGACTTGTAAAGGTTTCCCCCTAGGGTGATCACCTGAGGTTGCATCCTCCTCTGAAAGCACTTGTGACCTGTGCTGTGGCTCTTGAAAGCTACAGGAAGGTTTCAAGGACCCATGGAAACATGGAAAACTACAACTCATAAGAGCTAAAGGACTAAATCTGGAATAATAACTAGTTCTGTCAGGAAGGAATGGTCTGACCAGTTTTGTTGGTTTTCATTCTAGTTGCTTTAAATTTTCATGCAGTTTACCATATGTGTCTTATTAATGGGCTTCAGCCACCTGACAAAGGTCTACAGGAAGATGACATTTCATGGAACATCTTAGAATTTAGAAATTAATAAATTTGGATATTAAACCTGTAAATATGTCTGTACATTCAAATATGAATTTATGCCAAGGATAATTCATTTCAGAATTTCTTGTACATGTTTCTTAGCTTGCAACAAAGCTTTACATAAATTTTAGTATTTTCTTATGGAATTAATTTGTAAGTCTCTTTTTGCCCCATGTCTGCTTTTAGTAGAAAAGCACTAAAGCCTTTAAGTGTGTTTGAGAGTGCAAAAGTGATTCTTACATAAACATTTGATTTATGTAAATATAAAGAAAAAAATGTACTGCTTGCCTACATGAATAAACATATATCTATGCCAAGTGTAGAGTAAATAAAAATAACTCATTGTTTGTTAGGGATAAAATGGCAGGAGGAGCTCGAACTAGCTTTTAAGACTCTTGAATCCTTTTCCAGCTTTTGTGAGCCTAAAAAATACTTATTGAGACCCATCAGCATTATGATTTTTCTAAAAATAAATTTTAAAAAAAGGTTTATGTGTTTTTCTTCTTGGTAGTTCTGAAAATAAAAAATTTTGTGCTCACTCACATAGGGAAGGATCCTTTGAATAGTTTGTCTACCTGATCCATCAGCAGCCCCGGTTTATTTCCTACAGACATTTTAATCATTTTGGAATGAAGTTGGCCAGGAGGAGCAAAGCTTTGAGCTGCTTACAGGAGATGCTTACCTGTGGGAAATGTAGATCTAAAGACATCTGTCTGTGTGAAGGACAGGCATGGCTTTTGAAGAAAAAGATTTGGTAACCCAGAATCTACTGAAAAGATGCACTTTGATGTTTTAGTCTGGGCAAAATTACTCCTCATCCAATTATCATGAGATCCTGGAGCAGTAGACACTTTTGCAAAGCCATGTGTTGTCTTGCCTTCTGATATGAGAGGACCATAAATGAATGAGAAGGCAAAGCAAGACTTGCCAAATTTACTGATTTTTCCAGCTTACTGATTTGTCCACTTATGGTTCCACAGTCTGATGTTGTGGAAGAAAGAAGAAAGACTGGCTGCTACCACCTGGATATAAAAGGTTAAACAGAATACTTGCAAGTTTCAGTCTGTTCTCTTGTGAAAAGGTGCCAGTTTATGGGATAAAAGATAGCAGTTCACTTGTAGTTATGGGGTATATTAATTGTTATATTGCTATTTGCCTCGCTACCCACAGAAACTTTTATCTTGTTTCTTTCTTGCTCCACTGCCATTACATTACAGATCTAAATATTCTAATTCATTGTTTCTCCCACACACTGGGACAGGAAACATTATCAGTTAACCATTATTCACCGCTCTACTGAAGTTCTGAAGTCCCATCCCACAGATCAGCTGCTGCCCATCATGGCCTTATGAACTGCCATTGATTTTCAGATGTGGGAATTAATGTAGTTTCTACACATGTTTCAATCAGACTGTGCAGTGGAATGGAAAATACTGTTCTTCCTAGGTCCAAACTGTAGGTTGATCCCTGTGAGGTACGTTTTCCATCAAACTCAGTTAAAATGGATGGCAACAAAGAGCACTGTCCTGTTCCTGTGGGACACCCTCTTCACTTCTTATTCTAGTGTACCTCCTTTTGATGCTTTGTGAAGGTTGACCTAGAACAGAGACTAGACAAAGCTAAAGAATAATGTAGGTATTTATTAGGAGGCCTCAATAGGTCCACCTTGGGCAGTACAAGAGCCCAGCCAGGGCTGCACCCACGTGAACCCAAAATGGTCACAAAAAATGGATGACCGGTATTGGGGTCTCACACTTTCACCAGTTTTGGTCCATTAGCATAATGGAGCTAATTGTCCAATTACAGCTTTAGGCCATGTAGTCCCATCCTTGTTTTTCTCTTTTCATTCCACTGTTTATGTTCTCAGGCCTGAGATCTGGATCAGTTGTCCTTGGGTCCCCAGCAAGAGAAAGATTTGTTTTGTCTACCTAGTCTGTGAAGAGACATTACTGTCCCCTTATATGAAGCCCAGACCCACACACTAAAGCAGTACAGAATCTGAAAAATAGAAAAGCTAAAACCTGAGGCACCACTTTGAGGATGAGGAGGAGTTACTATCAGTAGTAGTAGGAAAAATAATCAAAGCAGGATCTTTTTGAATAATGTCACTTTGGCTTCTACAAGATAGCTGCAGTGGCAGTTTATTAATTCTAGTAGTGGAAAAGACTGCTTGAAAAATGTTTTGATGGTTTTCAAATGCAATGTTCATTTCAAATACTTATTCAAAGATCAAAATTAATTCATTGGATTTGTGCAAATGAAAGCAAGCAAATATTAAGCATAACATTTAGCAGCTTTATGCTCTAGCTCTTATTTGTGCATATATCAGTATCTGTGCCAAATTTTGAATGCTAAGAAAAACATTTTAGTGCACTCAATTTTCAGTATATCTTGGGCTGAATTGCACTTTCAAGGCTGCTTTTCTGTGTTGCCTTTATTTTTTTTTTTTTTTTCCTTTTTTCACTTATTACTTTAGGGCACCATCTCAACCAGATGTTTTATGTGTGTTTTTCACTTGAGAGGCAAGTTGAAAATTGCTACTTCCTTTTTGCTCTTTTCTATTACACAGATATAAAGACACATTTAAAAGAAGTGAAGAGATTATTAGGAATGGGAAAAGTACTTAAATGGAGCAAACCCACAGTTTTCCCAATCACCAATTCACTTGTGTATTTGGCTTACATTTAAATTAATGGCTTATATTACTGGATGCTTCAATATTTTAATTAAAGTACTTCTGTTTTCATTAAAAAAGATGAGTAGTGTAGGATATTAGTTGCATTCCCAAGTAGTTCTAGTGTATAATTCAGTTCTTTCATCTCCAATAGACACGTACAGCAGGTTACCCACGCCAAAGAGAGCAATGTCTGACCTCTGCCCCCAGGATGATGGGGCTGACACTGTCATGAGTTGTGACTGAACTCTTGTTCCCTTTTAGCTTGTCTCCTCTAAAAAAAGGCCTGATGAGGTAAAAGTATGTGGTGTAGGGAATAGAAAGATACTCTGACTCATTTTCTACCTCCATTTGAGTTTCTAAAATATTGGAGTTTTCCTTAAAAAGACAAGTGAAAAAACATAGGCAATCATCCACCTTGTCAGGGGAATAGCAGAACTGCTTTCCTTATGCAGAAAAGGATGGGCCAATGATTTTTCAAGTGCTAAAACTGCTATTTATGGCCAGGTATTAGCTTTCTTATATATTCTTTTTTATATATTTCTTCTTATATATTTCTTATATATTCTTTTTTACATATTTCTTCTTATATATTTCTTTTTAATAGACAGTATTTTTTACTTGCTATCTTGGGCAAGCTGTTGTATGTTTTTGACAGCATTGAGATTAGGAAGTTCGTGTAATGCTCCCAAGAACGGGAGGGAGATAGGCATTCATGCATCCTGACTCCTACACCAGATCCACTCCTTCAGTGCCACCCACTTTCATACTGTTATTGAGCTAGACAGGGCAATAGCTGGCTTCAGAAGAACCATGAACAAGATGTGCATCATCTTCAAACATCATCTGAGAATTATCAATATCACAATGAAGTTGTATCAGCAGGCAGGTGATTCAATGCATTTTGGGAAGACTTCACTTGCAGGAACAACTGTTTTGAAGTAAAGCTACTGAACATGTGTAAGCTGTTCAGACCTGCCTGGGACTAGTACCTAACCTTGCCAACACTCCTGTTCCCTTCAGGCAAATTCATTACTTGTATGAAGATCAGCACATGTGGGCCTGCTTTTGGCATTCTGGAAAAAAACAAACAAACATACAACCAGTGCATTTATGGGATTGCTCATTTCGTGGTATAGTTCTTGTTTTAACTGACTGAAAAAGTCACCTCTTCAGGCTTAAATATCCCGAACTTTCCTGAGACTGAGCAATTGGCCCTGACATGGAGAATGATGATACCCAAATTGCACTTTAGAGCTTCTATTAGTAGCTTTAAGCCAGACCTTTATAAACCATTTTGCTGGTTCAAATTTGGGCAAGGGAGAGGGAGGCAGTTGACTTACTTTAACATCAAGCTACTTGAGGATCCAGTACCACCAAGTTCTATCAGTCCATCTTATGTTGTTGCATCTGGTTTTTGTAGTAACCACAACTAAAATCAGTTGTTCAGTTGTATGCTCTGGGTAACTCAACAGAAATGCAGTTGAGGGCAGCAACATCAGACTGAATCACCCAGCAACACCACCAGGGCTCAGATTGGCCACTCATGGTAGCAGAGTCCTGAGCTGTTTGCTGCCCTAGACAAAACAGCTCTGACAAAACCCCCTGCAGCTCATCCCCCAGCACAAGGGAGGATGCATTCAATCACCCTGCCGGTGCTGGGCACCAGGGTGATGGCTGCAATCCAGTTCAAAGGACAAGACTGTAGGCACATGTGTTTGCTAGAGAGATGCCTGAGATAGCTATGATGCTATGACAAAACTTGATTTAAATCACATCAGTAATTTAAAAGTAAGTCCCTATATGGCTAGATGCATTTTTTTTTCATTTTCTAAAGCTTTGTACCATCACAGCACTGACTAAGGATATGCATGGATATTTATTTATATTAAAAAACAAACAAAACAAACAAAACAAACCCCTAACAATCTAGATCAATTAAAGCAGTCATGATGGGAAATGTTTACCTTTGAAGATAAGCATTTACTGGGGAGCAGAGCATGCTTCAGTTCAGTAGTCCAACATCACATTTTAAATATATAAAACTAGGGGGTTTTGTCATCCTTCTGTAGCCAATTCCAAGTTGCTGCAAAGTGGATTCCTAACCTCCATCTATTTCCTTCATTTGGTGGCCTGAGTGAGGGGTTAAGTCTGGCAGGATCGCTTTTATCAGCTGTTATTGCTGAGCAAAAAAATAGGCAGGAAAATTCTGCTTTGAGGACAAAGTATGTCAGTGATTCTTTCAAGCATGCTTGAAAGGAAGAAAGACAGTCTCACAAGTTCCATGAACTCCCACAGCACCACACCCTACTTTGGAGGCAGGGATGTCAAACAGGTTGGCTTTCCCCTCCGGGAGGGAGGTGGATCCAGAGTGCTCGGGCACCCTCCTCATTGGGTGCTGCCGCTGCTTCCCCGGCACTCCGCGCTTCCTGCCGGGCTGATAAATAAGTTTCTTGGAGCACAGGTGGCACCTAATGTGCTGCTCATAGCTTGATTGTAGCAGGGTTGCTTGTTTTTGTTACTTGCCTTGTAGGCAAGAAGGTTTCTCTCTCTCTCTTGCAGAGCTTGGGTGTGGTGGTGAGAAACCTTTTGGGACAGAGCTGCTGATTGCAAGTGTCTCCTTCAAACCTTGACACTGCAGTTGCAACATCTGCTGTCACTGCTTGGAAAAAAACAGCGGGTGCAATCAAGGCACTGCATAAAAGAGCATGGAGAAATTCAGAACTGTGTTTCTTTTCTGCCTTAGCTTCCTTCTAGTCCATGTAAGAGGTAAGTGACCTTTACCTTGGGTTATTTCGAAGACTAGATTATTAAAAATGAAAAAACCCAAAAAAACCTAAGCTCCCGGCCCCTGAAAGGGACTCCTATTTATTTGGAAATGCTTGCTAGCATTTGTTTTTTTTTTTTTGGAGCTACTTTTTCATGAGAAGCATTCAAAAGTGTTTATATGTACTTCGCCAGTTTCTAAAGCAATACTGGTGAAGTCTCCTGGATGGTTGTTCATAATAGCTGTGCTAGTTTAGGTTTATTATAATTTCTTATTTTCTTGCTAGTGTTGATTCCCTAAAATGATTCACAAGCTGAGGCTTGAGTATAAACTTTTTAAAATGGAAACTGTAAAATGAGACCTTGCAGGGGAACTTAGAGTTTCCAATGAGATCCTTAGAAAAATAATGACTTATTGTTTTAAAGCTTTTCTTAGTTATTAATATTTTGAAAACTATGAGTTCTATTGTAAAAACAATTTCAGATTCAGTTTAAAAGTAATCATGCTTTAATATTGGTGCATATGCTTTAATAATTATAAACTAATAGTGTATTTACCTTAGTAAATGTATTCCATGCACAAGCATAGTTTTTCATGAAGGACTAATTAAGAATTTAAATAATTTTGTCTATATTTTTGATGAATGAATAGCAATAGGTAAAATGTAGCCTTTTCATACTAAGTAATTTTACTATATTCAAACATAACTTCTTTCAGCAAAATATTCTTTAAAACTTTTCTTGGTGTCAAAACAAATAGAATTATCTTTGTGTGCATCTGCCATGTGGTGTACTTGTAACCTTTTCTTTTTTGTATATTAGCAATACTGCAGTAACTTTACTACAGTGTTGGCTGCAGGAAGAAATCAACCATTAATCACTAGTTCCAAAATAGCAGCTGCTGATGATCCTCCCACCATCCCTGATTTAAACAAAGTCCCTAGGAGATCTTGCAATGATAGGCAGTGAAAAACCCCTTGTCTTAACTTAGTTCAATGGTTTGATTAACAAATGAGGAATTATTTAGAGGTCTTCAGCAATTAGCATGGCATTGAAAGAGCAGAGCAGTAGGACTCTGCTGGCCTGCATATTGTGTTGAGAGCAGTGGTGATTCATGCAGTCTCTCACCTCTTGGCATGCAGACTTTCTTGTTCTGTAACTGTCATATGTTGAATAGTTCTGTTCAGACAACCTGAGCATGAGCAAGCCAATTTGCATATACTCTACTGTTGTAATTACAAGGGTAGTCAGCCTAATTATTCGTCATTTATTTATATGTTAATTTAGTGCCAGTTTAGGCTCTGCTTTGGGGGAGAAGTCATTGCTGAAAGTTGCTGTGGGCTTTGGGCACAATCTTATGACTCTGGAAAATATTTAATGCCCTTTGACAAGCAAACTCAATTATTTTATGTCTGTGGCAACAGCCACTGAATTTTATCACCAAAGTAGTCACCATGTTTCAGGGGATATTTACAAGAAACTCCTCTCAGTCCCAGTCAAGACATGATATGAGAAATGCTTGGCTGTGCTGGTAAAAAGCTGGTCTAAGTACTTATGAAAGGAATGTCTATTACATGATTCACCCTTTTATAGGCAGCTCAATTTTCTTCTAAATTGTAATCCTCTGTGATAGCATCCATGATCTACTGGACCACCACAGGTAGACCAGATGACATCATTCCTCTTACCATCCAGCATTTCCTTTATGTCCAATTATCTTGAGTTCATTAGCTAGACTACCTTGATGGACACATCTTGACAGAAGTATAACAGAACCAAGAACCATATTGCACAAGGAAAGTGAAATCTGATTCAGTTCAGAAACATGTATACTCACTGCAGTATTCCATTTTTAGCTATGCTCCAGGTTTTGGGATTTCCAGGTTTAGGTAGGTTACATGAAGACTCCTATGTATTTGAGCTTCAACACCTAATTGTCTGTGAGGCTTTTAGTCCAATCCAGATGAAATAAACTTCACAGAACTTCTTCCACTGAATTTCACGGTAACATCTCTCATTACTCCCTGCAGCTTTCAGTAATTCAGGTTTGCCTGTGTCTACACTGCCCATTTAAGATGTGCTCAGAAAAAATTCACCTTGCTCCCCAGGAACTGAGATCATGCATCTGTTTGAAATATAGGTCCCACCTGGGCCACAAACCTGTGTGCACACCTGCACTGGGGAAGCTGTGCAACCTGGGGGCCCTCCCCTAGATGGAGAGGCCCCTGGAAGGCAACTGAGACTCTCCCTCAGACCTTGTGCTCGGCATGCTCCTCAGGCTCCCAATGTATATATAATCTATATATCCACGGTTGTTAAAGTTGACTCATGGATCACATGTTTAGCCAGTAACAAAGACAGTGCAAAGACTGGTATGTCTGAGATGCTTTACATTTATTCCATCAGGTACTGAATGGTACACAGGTAAAGGGAACAGCATTTGTTGCTAGTCAGTAAACCATGCACCTCTGTTCAGCTAAGGCTTACAAAGCTTCTGACTCAGTTGTATCAGTTGTAGTCTCAGTTTATCAGCTGTGCACTTTGTGGGGATAAAATTGTAGACCAGTTTGAATTTGAGACCCTATGTGACTTAGTTCTATGAATAATGTAGTTTTCACTTGCGTTAAAAGACTGAACGGGAGCAATGACAAACACAGTCCTGTTTTTCATACTCTGCTCCATGTATCTGCAGTCCTCACTGTTGTTCTGTGTGAGGTCCCTGTGGACGTGCTGAAGCACTTAGAGATTCAACAGGCAACAAATTCTCTTCTGCTGGCTGCCAAAACTATTTCACTCCCAAGACCTGAACTGTGATTATCTTCAGGCACATCAGTGCTATCAGCTAAGGATGTAATTGCAGTTTGAAAAAACCGCATACCTGAACTGGTTGAAACACTAACAACAGCAGAACTGTTGCAATATCAGAGCTTGTTAAGAGAAACAACTGGTGCAGTTTACTCAGCTTCTCACGTTCACTTTTCAAACATTTCTGCCATGTTGCAAGCCTGGCATCAGTGACCAACCTGCCTGAGTATGAATTATTAACTTATTGCACTCTCAATTGTCAAACCCTTTCCATCCCATTGAGGGTAATAAATAACAAATAAATGTCAGCATTCTTTCAAGATTAGAAATCAATAAAAGCAGACCTTTCTGAGGCATTTTGCCTCATAGTAGGGAGAGATGAATTTTTATTAGTCTTCTTTCCTTTCCACAGGCTGACATGTATGAACATTATAGGAAAATACTAAAAATACTTAAATCTGACCTGTGTAAGTACTTCATCTTCTGAAGGCAAATACACCATCCCAGCTGAAAGAATAGGCTTGGATGGGTTATGAAAATATAAGTCCAACTTCCACTGAATAAGTTTTGCATGTAAAAAATAGATTTTATCTAAAAATAGATTTTTAATTAGTGAAGAAGTAATGTAAAAGTTAAATTGCAGCAATATATTTTCAATGCCACAGAAGAAAAGGCATTAAGTAAGTAGGCATAAGATTAGCAGACAAATTGAAGTCCTTCCTTAAATCCTGGTCTAATCACACCGGTGGTGAAGGAGCCAGGGACTATCCATGTAGAAGGTCAAGTGCTCTTTTGCATGCATTTAACCAGAGTACCTGGTGTGAAAGTGGAAAAGGGAACATTAAAACACATTCTGTGAGCAAGAGAAACAGCAAAGCCTGGCATCACTCTGACCACCTATTCAGTTCTCTCTGTCGTCTCCCTACTGGAGACAGTGGGGATTAGCCAGCTGGTATTTAGGCAGTGAGTGGTCACTCTGAGAGCCCAACACAGCTGTTGTCTGTGCCACATGAAGGATTTCAGTCGGAATAGTCACACAGGTATCTTGTTTGAGAGACCATCAATGTGACCATCATTAAGCCTGAGACTCTCACACCAAATGGCTGAAAAGGGCTGGCAGCTTCATGAACCTGTAGTGACAGAGAGAAGCTTTGGATGAAGAGCCCACACTGTGGGCTAAGCTCTTCTGCCTCATGACAGCTGAAAATCTGAGTAAGGTGCACAGGAACATGTATGTTGTTCCTTCATGGGAGATCCCAATTCTTTTGCTCGGCCTGCAATTTTACAGCACACACCATCTTCTTCTGCACTCACTCTCTAGCAAAATACAGAAAATTATATCTGTTTTATTTTATGTATGCAGGGCATATCAGATCATAAAGAACATCAGTTACCTTTGAACAGCAAGGCAAATATAATAGAACTAACAGATTTTTGTTTGTGTTTGGTTAGACTGTGTTGCACAGAGCTAAAGCAGTACTGCCACTCCTACTTTATTAGTGCATCTTAGTTGCTGGTAATTATTTAAATATATTCTTGTATAAATAAGCAAAAGAGTTCTTTTCATTTCCCTTGCATTTAAACTAAAACCAGAAGTGGCCTAGGAAAAAATACGAAGCCAATAATCAGGTCCACATGTTGTGGTCTATATAATGGACCTTGGATCTTAATTATAGATTTTAAAGCATACTCATTTTCCACCCCAGCATCAAGGGGTTGTAATGGCAATCGTTGTTTATGAAACTAAAGGTCCTTGAAGGAAAACAAGCTACAGAAACATCATCAGGAAATATGGATCATGGGGCTATTACATGAAAAAAATACTACCTGCTCATGGAGATTTTGTCCAGTGTCCACTCTGGGGCGTAAACCTTTGTGTTCTCCCAGAAATGAGTAATTTCCTTTAAACAAACATAATTGCTTCCTGAACAAAGGTGCACCAGTACATGGGTATGCTCTAAGTCCCATGCATGGGAAAATACATCCTATTTTCTATCATGGACTAAATAGGTTTCTTGACTGTATTATAAACAGAAGTGGTCTGTACAAAGAATTACTTACAATTTCAACTAGAAAAAGCCCATAAAATGAGTCTCATGAGTGATTTTGGTAATATATTGTTCTGTTTTATAATTTTTTTCCTCATTTTTAAGTCACAGCCTTCTTTCTCAGTCTCTTCCAGCTTCATAATGTTTTAAGCACATTGTATTAATAAAACAATTCCTGTGGAATTACACTGAAGAAATCATACTTGTTCAAGTCTTTAAATACTGTAGAATCAATTTATTCTCCCTTTCTATCTGGCTCAGAATTAGAAGTTAGTTGCGTCTAATTTATTTGTCACACAGGTAAATTCATCCCAAACGTATGACTACTAGCAATGCACCAAAAGCCAATTAATTTAATCATCTTAATGATAAAATTATTTATCTAACACAATGTACATCTATGCCTTTTAGGTGTGTGTCCAGAAACATACACATTTTCTCATTTTAGCTCATTTTTCCTCATTTAGAATTTTAGCTTCTTTTTTAATACTGGACTGTGCATATTAAAAGCCTGAGAAGTTAATTTCATTTGTCACATAACCTGATCCTCACTTAGAAATATTCATTTCTGCCTTATTTAAATCTCTGTCATTTTAAGGGCCACAAGCTGTTTTCGTATGGAGTTTGAAAATTGCGGAGTGATGTCCTGGTAGCCTTTTGTCAGAAAACTTGTCTGCTGTTGTCATGACAAACTGGTAACACTCAGAAGGCTGCAGAATCCAGCCTTGTTCCTCATAAATACAGCTCAATAGCTGTAGGACCTCAGACCCTTGTGATCAAACAGATACACGGTTAAAGGGTGGTGGATCCATTCAACATTTAGAGAACAAACTAAACCATGGACAAAAGATGCTACTGTCTGCATTTTAGAGACTGGATATTTGGGTCACATTTTCAGAAAACTAATATTCAAAATTCATGAACACTAAATGAAGATGTGCCTGAGAACATGACTTTGCAAGCATTTTCTCAAATGCTCTAAGTCATTGAGGACCACCCACAAAAAACATTATTACAGACGTTTTATTTCTTTGTCAAAACAGGGATACTCCCAGAAGAAAAGTTAGAAGTAATGCCAAGAAATAGCATACTAACCAAAAAGCAGTAATAGCAGAGATAACTCTGAGATAATACCACCTGCACAGTTAAATCTCTTCACAACTTTATCCAGATTAAAACAAACAACAAAACCAACGGCAACAAACACAAAACTCTCAACCAATTAAAAAACCCAGTGGAACAAAGCTCTTTCTGCCCAACTAAAATTTCTTTCATTCTCGTTATCATCAGTATATTTCCAATTCTTTCTACTACGGAAGCTGATCCAAAAAAACAAAAAAAAAGATTATGTGGAAAATTATTTTATTTCAGTCTCCTTGTTTCTGTGGAGAGCTTCACTAATTTATTTCCCATGTCATTTATCTTCAGAGTTATCTGAAGTGACTGCAGCTCCTCTTGAGCTAAATATTTTCTGAGACTAATGTGGTTTTGTTGTTAGACCAACCATGCTGTAGATAAAGTCTGAACTGTTCTGCTATTAAAGCAACTATCCTCCTTAAGTTAGATTCTTGAAAATGTCTAGGAGCAGTCTCAGGAATGGTAATGAGCATTTAAAATTCTGCTCCACAAAATCTTACTCCTTGTGGTCATTTTATGTTATTATCAGAGGAAGTTGGCATCAAAGTCCAAGCAGAGGACTTTTGGTTTATTGCAGTATAATTTACCATGATGCACAGATGTCCTCATACAAACTGCCCGTCTGTCAAGGGTTATGTCTACGCAGTCAAAGAGATTTCACTGTGGATTTCTGTCTTATTCCCAGGCAGTCATTCTGAGTTGGTGTCCTTTTCTTTTTATTTCTTGTTTTATAATCAGAAATAATTTTTTAAAAAATCAATCTGAATAATTGCTGAAGGAGATTTTCAGTCTTCTTTTTTCTCTTCCTAAAATTTCTATAGCTTTCTTCTGTTTCTCCCTTGAAGTCTCAAAACAACACTCTTTGACTTTTCATACCTTTTCCATAACAGAACAGACATAATAATAGGAGGGGGAAATGTTGGTATTGTGTAGAAGGGCAGGTGTCAGTAAATGTTTCAGTCCATTGTTTTGCTTGAGTTCTCATGCAATTGAAAGCATCTGCATCATCGTGCTTGAATTTCATAATCTGATTCAATTCTACCTTCTATTTTTATTTTTCCTGAACTTCAAAGAAATATTCTACTTGAAAGTTTTCCACAGTCTTCCTTTGCAAGATGATTTTGTCACATTCTATTTACAGCATCAGGACCTTGGTAGTTGGTTTCTGTATTGTTAGTTCCTGCTTGTCATGACCTGTAACAAAGAAACTGGTTTGGCCAGCAGCTCTTCCTTACTATGAAATTATTTCTCCTGGCTCCTATTCTGATTATGGTTGCAAAATTATTCCTGATAACTCACTACAATAAGAAATGGTTTTAGCCATTTATTATGGTATCCTGAGGCAATGAGGTTCGTGTCAGACACCCTCCTCCAATACTCAGAATGCTGATCGAAAATGAGGATTTTGCCAGAGGTCAAAATCAAAGGACTGTCAAGCTTATATTGCTTGTACTCCTGGCACTGAAGAAATGCTTCAGAAAAATATAATTTGACCATATAAGTCAAGGCAATGCCAGGATGTCTGCCTGTGCATTGCGTGTCTGCATCAAGATCAGAGGATTCCATGGCTGGGCTGACAGCCCATGGGCAGAAGTTCAGGGATGGTAAGAGCTGGTGATGCACTCAGGGCTCAAACAGAAAATATCTTCTTATGAAGCAACTTGTTTATTTTATAGATTTATGTATTTAATTGATTAATATTTAAAAACCTGTCAGAGTCTTAGATTATGGTTTTAATAATTGCTTTAAGTTGAAAGAGGGTAGTTTTAAATTAGATATTAGGAAGACTTGGTTTTTATTACTATGAGTGTGGTGAGGCACTGGAACATGTTGTCCAGAGAAGTTGTGAATACCCTGTCTTTGGAAGTGTTCAGGGTTGAATATGTCACTGAACAATCCGGTCTGGTGGAAGGTGTCCCAGCCCATGGCAGTGAGAGTGGGAAATGGATGGTCTTTAAGGTCCTTTCCAACACAAACCATTCTGTGGTTCTATGATTCCATTAATATTATCCACCTGAAGACCCAACCCAAAAGTTACTGAACTTGGCAATGTTGGCTGAGGGGCCAGGGCAGAGGAGGGAGAGGTGGCCAGGTGAGGCAACACTCCAAGAACAAATCAAATAATAAAGAGATAACTTACCACTCTGCTAACATTACTGGGAAAGTCTTGTGGTTACAAGGTTTTACTTACTTATATTCCTCTTAATATTTTATTGGGACAGTTTTGCTTTAGAAGCCATTCCTACTTTGCATTCCAGCCTTGTTTTATCTCTTCCATCAGACCCCATCTATAATTAACTTCACAGACTTACATTAAAATCCTTGTGGGAATCAAAACATTTCTACTTTATGTTCCTGTGCTGACTGTTATTTGAAGATCACACAGTGTTTCACCACTGATCATTAATCTTTCTGGAAGCTCTTTGACACAGGCAAGAGCTATTATTCAGGAACAGTGATTAATAAGAAGAATGCCATGAAGATGTACAGGACCTGTCAAGATGAAGGAGCTGAGCTGAACCCTGAGCACTGCTGTGCTGACAAACCTCTGGCAGCCTCTCTCTGTTCCTCAGCTTCTTCACATGAACAGTGATGCCTTTCTTGCTGTGAAGTGTTCAAGACTTGCCAAGAAAAACTCCTTAATGAACAGTTAGGTATTAAGCCTTTTAGAAGGGATAATAAACATATGCAGATCAAGTGCAGATTGAGGCTTACTCGACAGAGCAAAGTAATGCATTTCTGTTTAGAGAAGTCATAGCATGTCACGGCTTTTTGTGGGTTTGTGTAGGCTGATCCTATGCTTGGAATGCAAACACAAGGATGAAAACCAGTGAATACATATTTTGCAAACACGTTTCATGAAGCCTGTATATTACAAGGAAAGTGACTTGAGTACCTGTGTGTGTTCAGTTCAAAGTCATCTATTTCAGTTTATACATTTTTAATATTTTCCACTTTTCCTTGCCTGCTAACTTCAGAACTACAGATGCTAATTAATCTGCTGTGGCATTCAAAGATATTGTTGTAATCTAACAGAGAACAGGAAGAATTTTTTTCCCTTTTCAGATATTTTTATTTACAGAGGGAACTAAATTAGATAAACACCTCTTAATATCTTTTATTTATGGCCCATGTTACATTAAAAACAGTTGATTTGTGTTGCAAGTGATCACAAGGCTTGACAATAAAGCTGCTTGCTAAGCTGAACCAGTAAAACAATAATGAAGATATTAAAAATTTTCACCTAATGATTTTGGTTCAAAATTATTATGCTGAATGCTACTTTCAGCTGCCTCCTGGCAATAGTCCTGTGCCCTCTAACTGGCATCCTGTGTTCTTCAAAGGGGTGTTTGCACAGCAGTTGAATATGATAACACGAGAGAGCAGCCTCTCTTTGGCCTACCTGAACAAATAACTTCCTTGGATTAAATGAGCCCATCTCTCACAATCACTCAGGACTGTGCTGTGGAGGGATGATAGCTGACAGCTTGTTCTGTGCCTGCTGCTGTTTGGATGGTCTTTCTTTTGCCTCTTTACTGGTGTTCTGGCTTTGTACTGAGCACTCAGGTCTGGAGATCATGGAAACCTGCCTGCTGACTTAGTGTCTTCTGTCACATTCCTTTTAGGTCAACATGATTTTGATTTAGCTGATGCCCTTGATCACCCTGGTATGTAAATTTTCTATCCTTATTTTACTATGGCATTTACATTTAATAATAAATCCTAAGTCTTTTTCCTTGAGGAATGGAATATGAAGTGGCTACTATTTCTGTTAAAGATTGACAGAACTAAAGAATGCTAAATTTCAATGTTTCTATCATGAAATGAAAATCTTTAAAAAAACAAACAAAAAAATAGCTTTGAAAACTATATATCATATTCCTTCATTTTTGGCTTCTGCTGTGATACATGAAGATTTATTGAAATAAATCTCTGCATCTCTCTACATTTGCACATACCTGCTTTTGTTAAGTTGAAGCTGTTAATGTTTATTGGCATGTCATTGTGTTCAACAGATGACATAATTACCAGGAAGCCTACAGTGATCCGAAGACCGACAAGACCTGTGTTCAGTGAGTAATAAATAATGGGTCATAAAACTGATTTTGTATTTGTAGGAAACTTTCATATGAGGTTCTTTATATATTTGCTGCTGTGCTTTAGTTGGGATAATGTGTGAATGACAGCTGTTTTCTTAAAGTAAAATCAGTGCTCTTTTGATAATTACCAATTATGTGTCTTTACTGATTCCAGTGAGGAAATTGAGCATGGCTATCTAGTGATAGTATTTTATTTCCTGAAGACCTTCTTCACCCTTTTTTAGATTGTTCCGAAATCCCTGTGGAGTATAACAATGGGTAGCTTTTGCTAAAATTGGCTAACTGTTCCTCTACTTTTTTCCCTATTATCTTTATTTTTGTGTATATTTATTCATGGTGCTTGATAACAGAGTTGGAAAAGAATCAGAACAAAGCTGGAGCTATTCTTTCTTCTCACCATGTATTTGATTCATATAGTCTAGTATTGATTGCTACAACCACCTGTGTCAGAAAGGAAAAAAGGCTCTGAACAGTGGGGAGCTGTAGTCCTGAGAATGCCAAACAATGAATTCCAATGAACACTTGTTAACGTTGAAAAAATCTAAATTCCAAACAGGAACAAAATTGCATTTGTAATGGAACAGTTTATGACAACATAGATTTTTTTTCATTTTCACCTAAACTGCACTTGAATAACTTTCTGTCTACCAAACAAAGTGCTTGGAAAATGCTAGATAAGAAAAACCCAACAACTTCAGTTCTTTTTCAGGACAAACTTTGAAATAAGATTTTAGGTGCATGAAATTAGTGACATTTTCCATACAATTCTCCAGCTCCCTTTTTGAACATACAGGGGGAGTATTTTGTGAAAGTAGTAGCTATTGTATACTTTAATGGCTGCATTCTCCTTCCCACTTAATTTGGCAAACAAAATTTGTGTCTGGCCTAGATTAGAAGCATATGTCTATTCTAAAATATTACGCTAAATATGGATTTATTCCCATCCTAATGTAAACAATTCAAGTTGTTTGAATTGTGCCTTAAAATACTGTATCCTTGGTCATGTTTAAAGGTAGCCTAGGGTGCCAATATCTGCACTCAAGCTGCCTCAAGTCAGGTGCCAATATCTGCACTCAAGTCAGGCGAAAGTAATTTTATTTTTAGGGACTTCTAAGTCTGTTAGAGATATGAACATCAGATGAATATCTACCCTAACCAAATCCACTTCACTAATTTTGGGGCAGGAAGAACCCCATGTTTTCCAGACTATTTCAGAGTCTCTTTCAGTGCTACAGAGGACTACAGAAAGTTTAAAAAAGCAATTAAAACTTCTTAGAAAACCCAAGATCACAGTGTTACAAATCAATTATTGGACTTGGAAAGTACAGGATGATTGTTCAAAAATATGTTCTAGCATCTGCTTAATGTTTCATCTTAACTTCAGGATTTCCTCTATGTCTCCTTCAGAAGTGAGGCTCACTGAGATTTTTGTTCAGCTGAGGCCAGTTACAGGCAGTGTCCTCTGGGCATCCCATGCACTTCTGCCTGAGTTGAAGCTCTCCTTTAGGCACCTCCCTAGTGTAGCAAATTAATGAAAAGTTAATGGAAAGTAATGTTTATTTACAAAATCTCAGCGTAAGTTGATGTTTACCCACTCACATCGTTCCTGCATTCTGTTTAATTCAGCCATACCCTCACACCCACATGCTCATGAGCACCAAGATTTGTGTGCTTAGGTGGTCTGGTGAGCATTGTGTGCAACAGGAGACAAAGCTTGCCAGGTGCTGAGCTCTTATCCTGTCTCTGTGCTTCTTCTTGATCAGAAATGACAAGTAGAATCCACAGATCTTTTGTATCCTTTAGGAGTAATCAGGTATTATAGAGAGGTCCTTTGCCTCATAATATTTCTCACTCCAGGGTCTCTGAACCCTTGATCAGGTTGCTGTCCACTATATTTTTTTTTAATTGTTCAGAATTCACAGGCTATATGCACAGACTTATTTTCTGGGTGACAATCAGAAAAGTAGTGATATGCTGCAACCTTTGGTTTTAGAATGCCTTTCTGCTTTTTCTCTGCTGACAAGACATCTCTGCTGTCATCAGAGCATAGACCTGCTGGTTTTGACAGAAACAACACATTCCTCAGTTTTACTGCTGGGAACAGTGACCTTTAATCTGTTCTTTTAACGTTTTGCTGGTTTTTGTGGTCCCGATACATACATGCATTTCCATTTTTATTACATTCATATCAACCTGAGCAATTCTGCAATAAATCTCTACATGAAACCTCCAAAGAAGAATTTGTGTTTTACCTGAATTCTTCATGTCAATAATAAATTGAATCCAGTTTTCAATTTATTGCTTCTTGCAGTGTTAACTTTTGACAGGTAAATATATTTTTAAAATGCAACACTGCTGGGCAGACACAGGGAGGACCTACTCCTGACAAGTAAAAACCAAGTAATGTATTATGAATTTATTTATTTTCCTGCCAGATTTCCTGGTGACATCAAAGGATTTCTGAGATGTTACCCAGATGAGACTAGATAGTGTGCAGCTTCCCACTCCTCCTAGGTATAAAAAACAGATGAAAACAGATTTCTGCATGGTGATTTTCCTGTGTTTCAGGAATTCTGACACATCTATAATGAAAAAAATATTTGTTTAATCTAGTTGTCTGTGGCAACAAGCATGGTTACCAAAATTTAGATAGGTTTTGCTATCCCTTTTCTTCTGGTTCACTGTACCACTCCACACATATGTGCATCAAGAAAGGGATTCTTGGAGTTATACCATCCATCGAATGTATTTCTTTCATAACCCTCAATCATTCCATACACACCTTAAAATACCACCCACATACTCATATCCAGACCTGGTGTTAGAAACAGAGTTCTTCCTTACCCATGTGCAGCTCACGGACAAATTGTTTGTTGCATGGAAAGATTCTGTACCAGATGTGGTGAGACACGTGTATGGTGCCGGGTAATGGTCACGGCCTGGTGATTTACTGGGTAAATTTCACATACGGATGTTTAATTCTATCTAAAAATCTTTATAGCTCAAGCAAATAAAAACAGACTGTCTCCCAGCCTCAGACAGGTGCATATAATTGCCTGAAGGAAGGGGCTATCGTGACCCTTACATAGATATTTGATTAAATATCTCCCCACGTAGCTTTATTGCTCCCTAGTATTTGCTCTTGAAATGGATACTCAGTTTTTGTACTTCAATAAATTCTACTAGAGCCAAGAATACATATACCAATTTTAACCAAGACATAAATGTTAATAATTATGATGCCTCAAGTTTAGCTTTTATATTTTTCAGATTCTGTTCTGCTTAATGTGTAAGTCCAGGCTTCATATAAGGGGACAGTAATGTCTCTTCACAGACTAGGTAGACAAAACAATTCCTTCTCTAGCTGGGGACCCAAGGACAACCAATCCAGATCTCAGGCCCAAGAGCATAAACAATGGTGGACAAAGAAGAGAAAAACAAGAAGGATGGGACTTCATGGGCTAAAGCTGTAATTGGACAATTACCTCCAATATGTCAATGGACCAAAACTTATAAAAGTGTGAGACCCTGTGACCGATCGTCCATTTTTTGTGGCCATTTGGGTTGTGCTGCCCAAGGTGTATCCATCGAGGCCTCTTAATAAACACCTGCTTTAGTCTTTAGCTCTGTCTAGTCTCTGTTCTAGGTCAGCCTTCACAAGGCATCAAAAGAAGTATATTTAAAAATGGGTATAGTTAAATGTTATAACACAGCTAATTTTATTTTTGTGTATTAAAGAGGTATTGATCTTGATTCAACTGTAAGATTTATTTTGACATCATTTAAAACAGGAAAAAACTTTGTATTTTGCGTAGAAAATACTCTGCTATTTGTCAGTTAGTGTGAGTCTGATGTTAGAGTCAGAGTTTCCAAGAAAAGTGTGCTAAGTTATTTGAATTTGTGGCACTGACTTGAAAAAGGTGCTTGTCAAACATGCAGTTGTACACATTCTAATGAAAATAACATTTTATTTCCCTCAAGAATTGCATGTAACTCACTTTTCTACATCTTCCTCCTATTTATTTTAGACAATGACCTACATTTAGGAGATGCTCTTGGTGGGGGTGAGTACTGCCTTGTTTCCTTGAATACAAGGGGATTTTTTTCTTTCATAGTCTTTTCCTGAACTCTGCCTAATTTGTAAAAAGATATTTCAGTACTGCAGGAGGTGCTATGGTCATGAGAGTTGTTACAACTCATGTGCATGCAGCCCTTCTGCCTGAGGCCATCATGCAGAGTGGGGACAGCACCTGGTCACCAGCTGCCTTTGAGAGCTTCCAGCTGCCTTTGAGAGCTTCCAGCTGCCCTCCCTGCATGAACTGAAGTTAGCTGGGGCTTGCTGCACCATGGCAGAGCACCCCAGGTGTGTCTGGGGAGAGCAAACATCGCCCATTCAGTTGTGATCGCTCAGGGCGCAGTCCTCTGAGAGAAGCTTGAAGAAGGTGATGGCCGTAGTTTCTCCAGCTACCAAAAATGAGCCTAAGATTAGGAATTGGAGGTAACACTGGATGGAATGTTTGAGCTTCTTGTAGCTCTGCTGATGGCATATTAGAAATTCAAGAAGAAATGTTTCAAAATGGTGAATGGTGAATACAGCTTAAGCTTGAAGAAGCCAAGCTGGTGTAACATTCTGTTAACTTACAGGTATTCCCATGCCTGACCTCGGAAGTATTCACAGTACTGTACTGAGCGGTGCAGACATATGAAATCTTTGAGGCTGGGAATTTGTACACCAAATTTTACTTAGTGTGTTTGGAGATATACCAAGGATGTGAAGTACTCTAGAAAGGTTCTTGAATACTGCAGATACACAAAATGCTATTAAGTATTGGAAAGCCTAGAGTTCCACTTTAATCACAGCCACACAAAAGAAAAGTTACTTCTCAGCCAGTTGCACAGAACCTCTGAACCAGCAGTAGTGGTCTGGTTTGCTCACATTTCAGTCTTAGACAGTGACTGTTCTTCTATATTTTGGTTTCTTTTCCCATTTCCACCTTCCCCTGTGGCACTTCATGCCTCTGTGTGAATGATATATTAGTCCACATTTTACAAAGCTGGATCTAATTTTGTTAATAATTCTCATGTTTATAATTTCATTTATTCCTCCCGTAATAAGTCTTCCATTGTGGCAAGCTTCTATTGAGTACTGTAATGAGAAGATAGGTCAAATATATTGACTAAAGTATTAATTATTAGCTTAAGTATCTTAACTAAACCAAATCTTTTCATTCCAAGGATAGAAAATTATATTTCCATTGGTTTTTATTTCTTTGTTCCATTTTCAGTTCAGTTTCTTAATTGACCTTCATACATGGTATAATAAGGTTAAAATTATGTATCTCGTTATCAGTATTTCTGAAGACATTATTTTTTCACCAGCTATGCCATGCAATATATCGTCTTACACTTAGAGAAGACTAAGTGCAGCACCATGATATAAAGTAAATGTGGGACTGGTGGTTTTCTGCTTTTGTGCCACAGTGAGTCTTGGTTCATTACACAGAGCTAGAACAGAGCAAGTCCTTCCTCTGCTGAATATAATTAATTGTCAGATTCAGCAAAGCTTTACGACTCTACCTAAAATCCATTGGCTGTGGGCTAAACTCACATGAGGTTAAGCATATACCTAAATAATTTTCTGGATGGGAACCTAAATGGTGCTTAGAAATACAAGCATAGCAAAAGAGCATTTGGCATGTTTGGAAGGTGAAAGATTTAAAGAGAGGGAGGGAAATTACTATTCATTTCTGTGACCTAATTTTGATTTATGCAGAGAAAAATGCACTGTCTGGCATATTTAAGAACAGTTGGATACCTGGTTGAATTGGTTAAGTAAAGAGTGTCAAGAGAAGACTGACTCTATACACACAGAGCAGCAACCCTAGATATTAAATTTGCCAGGTTTTGACCTGAGTGAGCTCTTCAGCATTGTATATGCAGTTTGGAAACTGCTTTTAGTCATCAGATCTCCTACTCTATCCAATGCATCTGTTTCTAATCCTTTGGCAAAAAATTAAGGCTAAATGCTAGCACAAAGTTCTAAACAACAGCAAAGCTGAAGTCTGAGATCATTTTGCACTGTTCAAGAGCTGGAAATTCATTATGCATTAGACAAATTCAGCATCTGTTAGATGAAACTAATCTGCAGGCCTTATTAAAACCTGCTGATGGCAGTGAGATAGCCTGTTGCCTCCTGCCCAGCCTAGAACACCAGTTTGTCTGTTGGCTTTGACTGCACCACTGGCACCCACAGTGACACATTGTGCCTCCCAGCTGTCAGCTTTAAACAATGTTAGCATTAGCCAGATATAAATAAAATATTTTCCCTCAATGTTGTTTTTGTAAATGCTTCTCTTCTTTTGAAAATATTCCCTGAAGTCAGTTTTTGCAGCTAGCTATTTGTTGATATAGTGTTTAAATCTCCTTAACTACTGAAAAGGTCCTTTTATTAATTCATGGGAGGACAAATTAGAAATAGGTATAAAATGTTTTTATTTACAGTTCCCAGTTTTGCCTGTTCAATCATCTAGCAATATTAATTATCAACAGGTGACATCTCAAGAAAACCTTTATACCCACCTCTTCCACCACGCCCAGGAAGTTATGGCAATTCTGGTAAGACTGCTTGCTATTGAGAAAATGTAGTGCAATCAGCTGTTCAGGGCAGACATTTTGAATGTTTTAATCTCTTATTTCTCTAGTAGTAGCTTTTAGCATCCTTTTCCCACGTCTTCCTTTTGTAGTCACTGTTTCTAACTCAGAGTTGAGAAAGCTTTTTTCTGAATGTTAGTGTTGGTACCATAGAGTTTTTCTATTTGTTCAAAATGTGGGAAACTGCATTTTAAGTAGCACGAGACTAACATTTAATCTTGTTTGTGTTTTCATTTTGGGTGTGTGTACACTGAACTATGCCAAGGCTCAAATTTGACACGGAGCCACAGGGCAGGGATAAACCTGTGCTCAAATCAATTTGAGATGTGCATCTGGGATGGCCCTGGGGCATACAGCAGATGGGGCTGGGCAGCTTGTATTGCTTTTGAGTCTGGTTCCAGACACTCGCTTAAATAAAGTAATGTGGCATATCTCTTCCGGCTTTTACCCTGTACCTGTACTTACTTTGGGTATGCCTGTAGTGTTGAGCTGTGGACAGGTCCTTCTGGAGTCTTTCCTGGAAAGAACCCGCTGACTCTCTGCTTCAGGGATCACTGGGACTCAAGATGTCCATATTATATAAGTATTTGTGTTACCGGGAGCCCAACCACATATCCCACAAGTGCCCAAAACACATACAGAATACACAGAGACCAACCATATCAATACTTCAGCTTTCAGGTGAATTTTGGTAGGTGACTGTTCAGTGCAAGACATGTACCCATCCACCATGTCGAGGCTGGGATTTCAAGGGTCCCTCACCTCTCCCTAGAATGCTACAAAAGGAGTGGACAAGGGAGCTGAAGTGGTTACCATTGTACATAATTTTGCAACTGGAATCTTTATCTTGCAGGAGATTTTGATGACTCAGATCTCCTTGATGGAAAACCTTTACCACCAGGTAAAATTTGCCTACTTCTCTTGCTCCTAACACCTGTAGATTGGAGCTGGTTGGTTTTGTTTTTGTGGTAATCTGTTTGTCTCTGAGGGTATAGGACTGGACTCCACTGTTTTCATTTAGGTTAGTTATCCTTCATCAAAAAACATGGGTTTGAGCCTGAAGCTAGAACTTGAAACATATTCCAAAACATTTTTTAGATGTCAGAAGCCTCCAGGTTTTATTCCTTTGAATTCAGCAAGAAATACCCAAAGGCAAGGGGCATGCTGAAATAGATGGACCAAGACTAAGATCTTGGTGTAAACTACTGATAAATGATCTGATTGTCTGGTAGTAGAGAAGAGACAGAGTATACTGCCCTCCCTGTGAAATCAGCTTGATGTAGCCTGTTACACAGGGTCCTTCTATTAGATGATAACATTCTTCCCTAAAAATGGAGTGTCAAGAGGATGAGCAGTTATTCCCCTGGCCAGCTCAGCCGTCAGTGAGGAGTGGAAGGGGTGCTCTCTCTTGCAGTCTTGTCGGGCCACCCCTTTTGCCCTTTGTACATCACACTTTGCTGCGTAAAGACTTAATTCTCAAAACAGGATGACGAATGTTTCTTTGATGAAATTTTGCCCTCTTTTCCAGGAGAAGAGGAGCATCATTTCAATCATGGAGGGAACACAGGTACAGTAAATGATTTACATTATTCTACAATTGATTTCTGATCTTTATCAAATATTAAAACAATGAGAGCCTTATAAAGTAGTACATATAATAAATTAGGCTTTAAGACATCATTTTTACATCAGCTGTAATATAACACAAGTTTTATTCATCTGCTTAATTCTATAGTTTCACCAAACTATTTTCATAATTTGGTAAAGGCACACTTTAGTAGACAGTATACTTAAGACAAACCATTTAAGTGCCTCTGGGAAAAAAAAAAAAACAAAAAACAAAACCTTCTCTTTCTTTTTCCACAGATTCGGGTTTAATAGCTGGAGTTACATCTCCTGTAATTTCTGCTTTTGTGATACTGATTGTTGGATCAATAGCAGCCTACACTGCTTACAAGAATAAGAAACTTTGTTTCAAACCACGTGGTAAGGCCCAAACAGTTTTCTGCTGATTTAGTGCTAAAGTAGATGGGAACTTGTCAAAAAATTGTCTCTGCCAGCACAGAGGTGCCTGGAAATTTTGGCTCTGTGTGTGGAAACCAGCCTGGATAGCCCAGATGAGCCTCAGAAAAGCTGGCAAAGAACACCCAAGGTGGAAATACTGAATGTTCAATTTTAATTTTTCAGGTGGGGCTGCAGTGTAAACCATTGAAAGAAAAGTTGCTGTCTGATCGCAGGCTCCTTTGGTTGGTGATATCCTACACTGCCATTCTGACAGAAGAAAGTCTTCCTCTATCAAATGTTTTCTTGAGATGTTGCAATCCTGCTCTCTCTAACCTGATGTCACTTTTGCACCTCGAACTTTGTGTCATCAGAGATATGCTTAAAACATCCAGGGATTGTATTGCACTCTCTGACCTGCATTCATAAAAGTTGGATACAGATTTTGACTCAGAAGTTATTGTAAACAACAAAAAAATCAAGTTTGATATAAACTAAAAATCAAAGGATTTGTGTTTGTGAGGATTTGAGTCACCAAATAATTTTTTCTGTTTTCAAAATTAGACAAAAAATTCAGTCCCTGTGATAGAATAGGAATAAGGAGTTTGCCATTTCCTTTCCCACTGTTGGGCTTCTCCAGTATATTTCTGTAATATTTACTATGCTTAAAGAAAAATTCCTGTTGTCTAAAGGATTAAAAATTTGAATGCCTTTACTTTGTGTTTATGTCTGAACTTTAGCAAAGGAAAAGGAGCTCTAGCTAGAAAATTCATTCCTAATTTTATAATATACTGAAAAGATTATGTATATTGACAAACCACTGTTTAAAATAAAACAAAGAGGAACATATGCTAATTTTATTTATTTATTTATTTATTTTACTGATTAATTACTGAACTGGGGTTTAGCTCTTCTCAGGAACTAGAATTTCACATAAGTTTCATTTCTCTTCGACTCCAGGAATCTTTGAAGGTATTAATCTAGCAAGATGGGTTTAAAAAAAAAACACATATTATTCATAATGTCTGAAAAGGGAAAATGGGTACAAAACTTTGCCTGATTCATTTAGAATGAGTTTGTGATGCTTCAATCTCTAAAATCTAAGTCACAAAGACTTTTCAACTTCTACTATGTGGAGGTGTGGTTGACACCTAGTTTTTCCAGCTAGACTGTTTCACTTCTTTTCCTCATTCCTGACTGACCTTGCTGTGCTCATGTAGACAAACCTATCGCAAAACCAGACTTTTCCTGTTTCCCTGCCTTCATTTACCTAACTGGATCAAAAAAACAGCAAGTGAATGAAATACAGATGAAAGTTGGCAAAACTAGCAGTTTACTGACATAATTCTTCAAGAGACATTTTAACTAACTTTTTCAAGCATAAGGAAATTGCTGTGGTTTTATCTTAATTTTATATGCAAAGCATGGTTTTGTTACTGCAATTCCACTTATATGGAGGTGAATATGATTGTGTTTATTACATCATTGAGAGGAAGACATATACTAAAAAAGTACTTTTTCATATAATATTATTTATCTAAATTATATTTTAAATGGATATAAATCAGTTGCTTTCTTAGACTACCTTTTTTTTTTGATCATGAAAGAAATGATAATGTACATCAGTTTAAACATAGAAACATTTTGACCAGATGAACACCTTTGTGGCTATCACTTTCAACTTATGAATAAGTAAATATCTTTAGTATGGTTTTCAAGGACATTTGATGTTTCCTTTAAAACACTAATTTTCCATGTTAATAGTTAAAACAGATTGATACGTATTTTGTCAGACAGACATAAAGATTTGATTAATTAAATGACAAGTATTTTGCTGTTACAACTTCAGTTTTTTGAACCGTGAAAATATGTATTTTGCTTGTTTCTCTTCAAAATTTTCAATAAACACCTACTGTGTTTTATCTAAGATGACCTAAGTTTTGTTTGCTACTTTCTGGGACATATGAGTATTGATACCTTCTGTATAAAAGTTCAACTATGTCCTGCTAGGGAAAAGAAGGAAATTCTTCAAACGAAAGAAAAATTACAGGAAAAAAACCCAACAAAATAATCAAAACAGCTTAACTGTCTATTCTTTTTTTCTCTCTTTTTTTTTTATTTTACTAGTTGTCTAGAGAAGGATCTATGTGCAACATTTTGGTTTTGCTATAATATGACAATTAATTTTAAATTGTTCATAATATTTTCAAAATAATTTTTTACTTGCGTTGATATTAATAGCCCCAAACCAGATCTATTATGGAGAATTTGAGCAAAACCCATGAATCTGAATGGATAAACCCTGAGTACCCAAGTGTTCAACCCTCTGAAGCTCTTTGGTCTAATTTGTTAGCATATATCAATATATCAATGTGCAGATTAACACTTTTAGGTGTTAATTTCCCTTTTAACTAGAATGATGATAAAAATAAATGTATAGTTATTGTATTAACTATTTCTATTATTATTATTTTAGGTCATTGAGAAGTTAGGTAAGGGAAGCTCTAGAAGGAAGGGAGGGAGGGAGAAAGGAGGAAGGAAGGAAGGTTGGTTAATTGGCTGTTAGAACATTGAACTCTAGCTTGTGTTACTGTCTCTGATATTTAAAATTTATTCTATACTGTAAAAAAAAATTTGCTGTCACACAAGGAAAACAGCTTATCATCTAAATACAGACATCACTTTTATTACCACGGAGAAACTTTTCTTAGTCTTCAAGTCACCCAACTAAAATAGATCTGCCAGTAAAATTATCTACAACAGTAATCATGCTATTGATAAGTATGTTGTCTAATTTATTTGTCTACATAAGTCAATGGTGAACACAGATCCCTGAGAATTTTGTTTCTGTGGGATAAATAAAACTCCATTTCCTATGTGTTTATGTCCGTCCTTCCTTTAAACACTTCGCCATTACTACAGAGCAACGACACCCTCTTCTCCAGTGGACCTTTAGGGTTCTTCCAGGGTGTGAGAGAAAAAATGCTGCAGCTTGGAGTGGCAACAGAGATCTCTTACAAATTGTTGGAAATGAAGTTTTAAATAGCTGAGTGGTACCGCTAGGCATTTTTTTCTCAGTGGCACACTACCTGAAAGTTATAAACTTCTGCTACATAGATACTGATGCTCACAACACATTTTGACACAAAAATGCCTCGGCTGAACCACATTAGCCTAAAATTACTTTGTATGGCTGTATTATGTCACAATTACATTGTATGTAATCCAATGTACATGAATAATAATTAATAAAATGAATAATTAATAATAAATAAAAATAATTAACAATACACTATACATTGTATGGCTGAATTACGTCAGAATTACATGACTTTTAAGCTAGTGGCAAAAGCATGCTGTGCTAGTAAATGTGCATTTATTTATGCACTTGTGAAAATATTTACAGCCCTCTGAATAGTTTTCCTGACACTGAAAACATCTTGCGTATCTGGGTGACAAGTTATCAGACCCTGAGTACCTGTAGGGGATACGATGGCCCCAGGGAGATAGGGGTAGACTCCCTTCACTCAGGGTGAATCCCGTGTATCTTTGTGAACACATGCCACGCTGGAATCACCCAACTCTGAGACGTTTTTCCACGCTCTGCCACCTTCACCATCACCGAGGCTGGTATTTTCCTCTGGGCGCTGCGTGGCAGAGTCTTCCCAACCTGTGCCCCTTCCTCTCGGTTTCTGCAGAGATGTGTGCGTGCTGGGGAGGCTTTGTCGCAGCGGCTGAGACCCGGAGGACACCCAGAGCACCGGGCAGGGGGCGGAACGGGACGGGAGGGAACAGGGGGAAAGGGAGCGGAGGGTCTCTCCCATCCCGGGGTGGGCGCAGCCCCGCGGCGGCCAATGGAGCGGGAGCCGCGTCTGCCGGAGGAGCCGCGCCCGGCGCGGGCAGCTGCGGGCCCGTGTCGGGCTGCGGTGCCGGGCCGAGCTCCGGGCTGTGCCGGTGCCGGGCCAAGCTCCGGTCTGTGCCTGTGCAGGGAGAGGCGCCGGGCCGAGCTCCGGGCTGTGCCTGTGCAGGGAGAGGTGCCGGGCCAAGCTCCGGGCTGTGCCTGCCCAGGGAGAGGTGCCGGGCCGAGCTCCGGGCTGTGCCCGTGCAGGGAGAGGTGCTGGGCCAAGCTCCGGGCTGTGCCTGTGCAGGGAGAGGTGCCGGGCCAAGCTCCGGGCTGTGCCCGTGCAGGTAGAGGCGCCGGGCCGAGCTCCGGGCTGTGCTGGTGCCGGGCCGAGCTCCGGGCTGTGCCTGTCCAGGGAGAGGTGCCGGGCCGAGCTGCGGGCCGCGCCCGTGTCGGGCTGAGCTCCGAGCTGTGCCCGTGCAGGGAGAGGTGCCGGGCCGAGCTCCGGGCTGTGCCTGTTCAGGGAGAGGTGCAGGGAGAGGCGCCGGGCCGAGCTGCGGGCCGTGCCCGGTGGGAGCGGAGCGCTGCGGGCGCGGAGCGGGCGGCGGGAGCGCGCCCCTCTCGCGGCAAAGCCGGCGCCCGGAGCGGGGGCGGGGTGGCTCACACAAACCCCCCCGCCACGCTCTCCGCCGCTAATGCCTTTTCTCTGCTGCTGCGCAGGAGTCGCTGCGAATGTAATTCACCTGCGGCTGCCTGCAGCAGGAAGGAGGTTAATCCCATTGCGCGGTTTAGCGGCCCTCCCGCCCGCGGGTGAGCGGCCGGAGCGGTGGGCGCCGCGCACCGAGCCCTGCCCGGCACCGCCGGCCCCCCCCTGCCCAGCATGCCCGGTGAGTACCCCCAGCCCCGCACCGCCTGGCTGGCCCTGGGCAGCCCTCTCGGCACTGACGGGGACAGTCGGCGGCGCAGCCTGGAGCCCTCGGGGCTTTTGCCCTTCTCATATCATATCCCGGTGCGGACCGGGGTCTCTGCTGCTTTCTTATCAGCACAGTGCTGTGCTGTAATGAGCAGCTCCAGAGGAGGATTTTAACTGTCTGGGTGATGGATGAAATAGGTGAACTCATTTATGTATTCTGCTTCTATGTACAGCTTGGCCTGCTTAGGTCTCTGCATGCTTTCCTGGTGGATGCCCAAGGGGACAGGCTGGGGCTGGCTGTCTCAAGCTAAGGCAGATTCCGAGAAACCTTTCTCATGCCCCTTCTTACACAGCAGTGGTATTGGTCTTAATCAGTTATCCTTAAAGCCACGAGGTACTGGTTTTATGGTAATCACAGAGGGTAGGTGCAGGTGCTGTTCTGGCTCTTGAACATACTCAACTTTTTTCCTTTTTTCTCAGTTTTGAGAGCAGCAGTTCCCACACATCTTGAAAATCTCAGAAAGTGAATCTGCAAATGAAACAATTGGAACATTGTGGTTTCATTTGGCTGAGGGTTTTTTTTTTGGTTTGGTTTGGTTTTTTGATTCTTTTTTATTTTAATTTTTTCTTTTGGTTGAGAGGAAGGCATGGAAAGACTGGAAACATCTTACTTGATATGTACGATGAAATTCCCTGTGCTGCCTCTGGATTTCTTAAGCAATTATTTCTAATAATTATTACCAATTATTACTAATTTTCAAACTGGTGTATTACTGTTTTGGGACTAGTTTTGGGTGTTATGTGTTATGCTTGTTTGCATCTTATGGTATTGTTGCATTTGAGTTTTCATGAGGATCATTTACCGTCTGTTGAATAACAACATTGCAGAGTCTTGAAGTAGAATATAACAGTTTTTAACTGAAAGACACATAATACAATCTACAAAGAACTGGAATTAAGTGCTCTTCCAACACAAGACCAGTAATCTGCCTACTAAACTTCAGTATTGTTTTAATAAAAGATGAGAGAGAATCTGGTTTTGAATGAGGCAGAGCTTCATTAGGCCAAGAGAAATATTGTACGCCATTGAATGTCAAAATCTGTTATACAAAGGTCTGTGTAAAGTGTTTCTTGTTTATCTTCATTAGTAACATCAATGTTTCTACTATTGGATCTAAGAAAGCATGGGAATTAAAACTGCCAGCTGTCATTTGTTTACTAGGGCAAGAATTGCCTCTTTGCTGGAATTTTGCATAATAAATTTTGATAGGGCTCTGACTCGGGTTATTGTCTGACACTATTGTTCATTTTATCTACTTGTAATAAAATATTTCTTGATTGCTTATAAGGTTGTGAGTGTCAGGAGGAGCAGAGCTTTTCATTCCCCGATATGGCTGTGCTATGCCAGAGAAGTGAGAAGCCTACAGCTTGTGCTTTCTTTTTAGCAGTCGAACACACCTTCACGGGCTGCTTCTGGGGGAAGATCCATAGAATCCTTCATGTGGGAGAGGGAGCAACAGAACTGGTGTCAGGAAACGTGCTGTGATCTGGAGCTGTGTCATTGTCACCTGGGATTTCAGGGAGGTGCTTGGCTCAGGGGGCACAGCTCAAGGCTGCAGCCCGCTTGTCCTGCAGATTGTCTCTGGAGTGGAAGGGGGGAGGTGAAAAGAGAGCAACAGAGGGTATCAGGGAGGAATTTAGGAAAGCAGTTGTACAATGTTGATTAGTCTGAATGGCACTGGGGACCTAACCAGCCAGTTGGAGACTTTTGGCTATTGATTTATCTGCTCTTATTTTTATGCATAAGATGACAATGTGTAACTTATAATGTTCTTACAGGAAAATCATAACATAGGAGTGTCTGGTCTCCTGCCATTTTGCAGAGGGCAGCTTGGCAAATTTGAATTGTCACATTAGGAGCTACAGTTGGACTAAATTTATGTTTGTTCCTCTATCAGAAGAAATATAAAAATATAATTAAAAAAACTATGTCTAATGGATTATGAAAAAACCTCCCTACCCTACTTAAACTTGTCTTGATGTTGGAAGGTGCACTTGGGTCACTCGGAACTTGTTACTGTCAGTCTCTTCTGATTCTCAAAATGGGTATCTGGTGTTTTTTAATTCTCTTTTTCTCTTTGAACATGAAAGTGAGCACCACTCTGTTTGCTCTGTTCATATTCTAAATAAAGCTTTTAAGTGCCCTAGAATTAGTTTCCACACCTGTCAAAGACTTTTGCCTCCAGCAGTGTCAAAGGTACTACTTCTATGAGTAAGTAGCATAAAAGATGGTGATCTTGGCTAAAAAAGCTGTTACAAGTTCCACATAAGATCACCCTGTCTGTAGTGGTTCACATTACTTTTGCTGTCTCTTCTGTGTAGCTGCAGAGCAAATTCGAGAATAACTCAGCAAGTGAATTCCTTGAAGATCCTTGTTTTGTTCTAAGAAAATATTGTTAGGTGATAAAGGAGGAGACACTACTGATGATAATGACTTCTCAGTTTGTATCGTTATGTGCTTTGTGGTAATCCAGGCAAGACAAATGATCAGACTGACAAATTCATAAGACAGAAAATACACTTTCTTTTCTCATAGTTCACTTATAGCCAGTGGTATTGTATTGGCCATAAGGATCCACATCTTGAAAACAATTTGCTTGAAAATTTAATGCCCTAAATAGTAGGTGCTGTCCATAAAAAAATCTTATTATCATTCAGCACAAAGAATTAAAATTATGCTTAATGGTCTCCTTGACGCTTAAAAAAACCCAAACAAAACCAACAACAAAAAAACAACAAAAAAAAAGCCAAACCAAAACCAGCTGCAATGAATTTAAATATCTACACTTCTGGCTTTCAAACTTAAAGAAGACATGTTCTTTTAAAGTCAGTGAGTGAAACTCTGTGTACAGTAGATTTAATGTGTCAGCTAAATAGAAACTTTCAGGTAAATCATTAACTTCCAAAAATATATATAAAAACCTGACCCTTACTTTCAGTTATAAAAACAAAATGTTTACCTATTAGGCTGTATTCCAAAGAATTTTATAAACAAGGCAAGATAAATAACACTTCTTTCTTGAAAGCAAGGATTAGATGAAAGTAAAAGTAATTATAAAATATTCTTATTTTAAACCCCCAATGGGTCCTTAATTAATTAGTGATGCCCCTGTATGATTTTAAAATCATTAGGATTTGCTTCTTTCTTAACACCAGAAATATTTTAATGTTAAATATTTTCAGTCAATAGTTTGATTATCTATTCAATTATCTCTGTGATGGTTTACTGTATTAAGAAGTCTGTAACATGTAACATCTGATTCTCAAAACGGGCCCTTAGTTTCTGTTCTTTGTGAGGTATCAGCAAGAGTTTCTTAGCAGCAGCAGTTATTCGGCAGTTTGCTTCCCTGTGGTTGTGACCACAGAGGTACAGGGCAAGGAAGCATTTGGAGGATGTGGTAATTTTCCATACCAGTTTGCTGAACCATTTAATGAGTAGTTTGTGTATTTTTATATATTACTTAAGTAAAGATTCAGCTTCTGTAGCCAAAAGAATTTGGAAAAATCATGTGAAGATTGTGCTCAGTTTTGTGGCTGTTATTTTAAACTGTATTTTAAGATTGGAACTCCACTCATTTCACAATTTGTTTTTTTTATATTTACCTAACTCCCACATTCCTCTCAGTAGTTGTTTTATTACCTTTCTTTGGCTGAAGATGCTTGTTGCCTAACACAAAACTGCTTTGCTTTCCTGACCTTTTGCATCTTTTCAAAATAATTTTTTTCTGAAGTAGCCTTCAGCAGTTTTCTGGTTTACATTGATTTTTAGGGATGCTTATGTTTATTCCTTTAACCCTCTGGGAAAACTGAAGTAGGAGCAGTTTACTTCACATCTGTTGTTTTAAAGCAACTCTATTCACTGATTTCTGGAACACCCATAACTGGCTTGAGCTGTTATTTTAATGGGACATTTGAAAGTTCAATTCTTCATTTGCTTTGTCTGGAAATCGTGATTAGAAATCTTACTAGAGTTTACTCAGCTGTGAGTTATGCAAACTATTTTAAGTTTGGATGGATGATTTGAGGGGTTTTTTCTGGCCAAGTCTGACACTTTCTGGGATTCTCCTGAGGTGCAGGGATGTGTGACAATGTCAGCAAATATTAGGTATGTGTGCTTGGGATGAAGCTGGCTGGCTGGAGATGAGTGAAAAAGTGCAAAAAGTGGGGGGAGAAGACAGCACAGCAGTGGGCCTGTGCTTTGCTCTGGATTTGGAGGATGTGAAAAATAAAAATGCTTAGAATCTGTTTGCTTATCATGGTCATCAACCATACTTTACTGCATACCTCGATGACAGGGACTAGAACTCATTCATTTTGGCAGTCTCGGCCAACAAATGAGGTCATTTGTTGAGTTCTCTGCAACTAGTTCTGTGAGATTCTTTCCTAGTGTTTCTCACAGACCCTGGAAACTGTATGACAGGTTGTTTATGTTGGTATTGTTTGGTGGTTTTAATTTATTTAATGCAATTGCCTGTCCCTTAAGATGATGGTGGTTCTAAACAAGTATTTTAACACAAGTGTTTATTGAAGTTTCAGTCAAGCTCAGTGGAATTCCCTTCATCTGTGTGACCTGCTCATCTTGTTCTGGTTAATTTTGCAGCCTGCTTCAAGGAGGCTGTTCACCTTGCTGAGTTATGGGTTCTCCCCAGGAGAGCTCTGACAATGGTGATTCTGTCACAGGGCAGAGCTGAAGAAGCAGCCCCTTATGATCATGCCACAGGAGTGGGGTCTCTGCAAAATACATTTTCTCCTGTTATGCAGGACTGTAGGTTGCTTTCTTTTCTATTGTAACTTGTTTCCTCATGCGTTTCCTGACAATAAGGAACATGGAGTTACTTGAGGTAGGGATTCTTAGCTTCTGGGAGGTGTACTGATCTCAGTAGGAATTTCTCTGCCCTTGTTCAGCCAGTACAAGAAGGCAGAGCAAAGATAATGTTGGGTTGATTCAGTGGCATTATAGGAAGAACATTTCTGGCTAATACTCAACATCTTGTTTTTTTCCTTAGCTTTTGTCACTGTATAAACAAGAACATTTTCCTTGTTGGTTTTATTATACTATGTTCATTAAATATAAAATCTAAATTTGTACCGATCAGCTTTTTTTGATTGACATTGTGTTTTGGCAATAAGACCTAGGGAATTATCTGTTTAGGGCTACTGCAAAAATTTTATATCTGCTATTATGTAAATCAGGCAAACAAAAATAATAAAGAGCAGAAACATACATTCTACATTCACATTCACTGGGTTTTCTATTCAATTGTGACTCTTGAGGGGAGTCTCATCACAGGAATTGTTGTTATAATCACAATGTGGTTGTTATAAGCCACAGATTGGTGTTTATCTGGAAGAGGAGAGAACAAGCTAAAAGGACTTACAATAAAGTTATAAAGTGACTCTTACGATTATTTTTTTGCAGTAACAGATCAAGCCTTTGTGACCCTTGCTACTGATGATGTGTACTGTCAAGGTGCTCTTGTTCTTGGGCAGTCATTGAGGAATCATAAGACATCCAGAAAATTGGCAGTTCTAATTACTCCAGAGGTTTCCAGTGGGATGAGGTAAGCATGAATGTGCATTTGGAGATTTAAATAGTGAAAGAGTAACCAACAGCATGAAAGATTTTAATAGGTTTCTGTGGATTCCACAGCATTATGCCTAGAACTTCCCTCTTGGCTAATGATTTCTAAGAGGAGTCTCAAATAACATCCATTATAAGCTCTTAAGCCTACTAAGAATTCACTTGCAGAAGTAAAGCTTGTGGCTGGAATTTGCCTTATAATTGAGAAGCTGAAAATTTGGAATGAAGTTTTAGTGTCTTGCACTACTCTTGTTTTTCTTCCAATTTTTCCTTAAAGCAAGATACGTAACCACCTGTGACATCAGAACTCTTCATAAACCTAAGGACTCAATTTCACAAGACTAATGTTCTCTAAAATATTGGTGCACAGATATCTTGATAAGAAATCAGGGGGATTTTTGGTGTTGGTTTTTTTTTGTTGGTTTTTTTTTATAAATAACTTTGCAGTTTGTGTTGTGATTCTACGGGCCCTGCAGAATAGCATTTACAGAAATCTTAAATCTGAACTCAAGCCTGAGTATTTGGAGGGCTGTGGCACTTGTTAAAAGGCATGCCATGCCATAGCAACTTAAACTCTAGTTCTGCTGTGTTTTAGGAAGTGTGCAAGCTCCTGTTTTCTGTATGCTATGTGAAGGTATTTACAATGCATCTGGCTCAAGAAATAAATGTTCACGTTTTTGCTATGACTGGATGCACAAAAATCTGTTTTTACTGACTTTGGAAGTATGGACATTGTCAGAGCACTGTAACCTTCCTGAGGGAATAGTGTATCCATTTGATGGGTGGGTGGATACTAAGTCTGTAATTCTTTTCACGTCTGTAAAGTGAGAAGAAAAGCGTTTATAATATGTATTTTAAATCAAGGATAACATTAAGAAAATCAAACAACAACAACCAAAAAAAAAAAAAAAACAAACCCAAAGGAAAGCAGATCACTGAAATAAGCTTCTAATAATCTGTACTACATTTAGTTCTTTGCCAGGTAGTTCCTGTTCCTTGAAGATCAATCAGGCAACAGCTAATGACCCTGAAATTTAGACTTCAAACAGCAAAGGATTTCTTTTTCTGTGTTTGTGAGGCATTGAGGACTTAGATTATAATAGTGTGGTGTAAGTAAATAAGCTGTGTTTGAAAGACTTTTTTTTTCTTGCTTCTTGAAGGAAAATTACCTGCTTTGGTGTTAGCTTTAGAATTCCCACAAAATACATGCACAGAAAAAAAACCGTTTAGCTTAAAGTCTCATTTGAGATGCTGCATAGTAGTGAGGAACTATATATGGTAAGCAAGTATGTATGCACTTTATACAAGGTGCAGTTTTGAAGCAGTGTTTACTTGGGCACAATAGGTACAAATGAGTGTGCTGCAGTGCATGTCTCATCCTGTAAAATGCAGAGGGGACACGATATGGTGCTGTTCTTTGGAATCAATTGTGCAGGATGAAAGCTGCTTTAATTTCTGTTGGTGTTTCCATAGGAGATAGTGACTAGAACAAGGGTTGTTTTTTCCTTCAAACAACAGCTCTCACTTTTGAGATGTGCTGGCCCCCATAGCGGAGAAGGCAATGTTTTATGGCCTGATAGCTGCCTCTTCAGTGGGCTGTTTCCAAAGGCTTTTCTCTTCTGACTTCTCACTCTAAGCAATCAATCTAGCTTTGGTTATTGTCATAATTAATGTCATGCTATGTGTCACTGTTTTCATGCCTGAAGTGAACTCATGAACTTGTCTAAATCCCCTTCTTTGTCTCCACTGCTCTCCCTGGTAGGTCAGTCCTCAGCAGTGTATTTGACGAAGTGGTCGAGGTGGATGTGCTTGACAGCGCTGACTCAGTCCATTTGGCTCTGATGCAAAGGCCAGAACTGGGTGTAACCTTCACTAAGCTCCATTGTTGGACACTTACTCATTACAGCAAATGTGTCTTCATGGATGCAGACACTTTGGTGAGTGGAGAGGGAGCCACGGAAACGTTTGTGTCCAATTGTGAGATGCTTCCTTGCCAGGCAGCCTTCAGGCCTGTGAAGTGACCAGATTTGCTGGCGGTCACAAGGTCACAGGCGCTCCATCCTGACACGTTTTAGCAATTCTCAGAGTTGTGCTGGCTGCATAAAAATAAATTCAGTTTGGAGAATAGCCTTAGGACTGTCCTCAAAAGAGATCACAAACTCTGTGTACTGGGTCTTCTGACAGAAGTTTAAAAGAGATCTCTCTCAAATACTTTTGCTTGGAATTATTCTGTCTGGAAGGGAGGATGGTTTCAAAATAGAAAAAAAAAAAAAAAAGAAGTTCCAAATATTTTTTTTTTAAGTTTTTAGAAGTATAGAGATAAAAATGGTCGTAATTTTGGTGAGGACAATCATGTCAGCCTTCCGTTGTTCTTTCATAGCTTACTCTGAAAGACTGCGATGCATTTTAATTTAATAGGATTGTATTTGAATTAGAAACCAAATTAAGTTATTCTTCTTGAGGAGAAATGCTTATGATTTCTTGCTTTACATTAATGTTAAAGGAGGAAGGCCAATTTTTATCTTTTTAAAAAAGTAAGTAATTTTACTTGTAAAAAACTTTCTTCTGTTTTTCACAGTGGCTATGAAAGGTGGGGTCCCTGACTTTCACTGACTGCACAGCTGTCTTTCCACAAACTTTATCTCTGCCTTAATCTGATTGATTTTCCCACTTCCTTGTGAAGAGTAAAAGAAAACAGAAAAGCAAATCTCTGAACTTAAGTTACATCAGAAAACTGGCAGCAAGAGACAGACTTTCTACTACCCTTTATTCAGTCTGTTGCTTACTAAAATTATTTAGATTCCCAATTTTCATTCAGTTCTGTTGTACTTGTAAATTGTGTTTTTTCATGGTATAATATTTAAAGGGACCTTGGATGGTCTCCAAGCTTCGTGAAATAATTTTACGGGCTTTGCATTTTATCAGAGAAATCATAGAGAATCACAATTAATGTTGCCTTATTAGATCAAAAATAGAGGTTCTGACCTCTAGCATATTTTACAATGGCACTGCTTTTATGCTCTGCAAGCCATGTACTAGGCCAAACTATCAATTTACTCCATTGGTACTAATTTGACAATGCTTACTCTAGACAAACATTTTTTTCCTTTTTTTCCTACTCTCCCTAAGGTACTTTGCAATGTTGATGAGTTGTTTGATCGAGAAGAGTTTTCTGCAGCTCCTGATTCTGGCTGGCCTGACTGCTTCAATAGTGGTGTCTTTGTGTTCCAGCCCTCCCTGAAGACTTACAACCTGCTGCTCCAGTTTGCTGCTGAACATGGCAGCTTTGATGGTAAGGAGCAAGGCATAAGGAATGCAGCGCAGAACAGTTTCCATGCTATCAAGCAGAGTAGAGGAAGGCAGGAGTTTCCTGGGCTCTATGTAAGAATTCAAGGTGCAGGACTTTGTCTCTTAGACTGTATTTAAGACCTGTTGACTCACTCTGGACTGTGCTTCCCAGAAAAGGGCACTGGAGAGACATTGTGTCTGAGTCTTGCTCGGTTAGTTTTAATTTTGCCGTCTGGCTTAGGAGAGAGAAATACATCTGATCTTCAGTCTTCTGCTCTGAAGGAGACCAGACACTATTCTTTCCTTCTTATATTACAATAGGGCTTCATTTACACTGAGCTTGCATCAGAGTGAATAAGGTATTATTCACTTATGCGTGCTCATATGGCCATATTTTCAAGTCCAAGTTGGAGTCCCATGAACACACCAATCTCAGTCCCCAGTCTCACTCCCATCCAAATTTTGATACAAATTTGAGTGTACATGTGTTATGGTAATACTGTTTTATGGACTCTTCAGGAGGTGATCAAGGCTTGTTGAACAGCTTCTTCAGCAACTGGGCAACAGCAGATATTGGCAAACACTTACCTTTCCTCTATAACCTGAGCAGCAGCTCTGTGTACACCTATGTTCCTGCTTTCAATCAGTAAGTAACAGCACTTCTGTAAACCTCTGTAGTTTGTTAAAGAATATACTTTTGTAAGAGAGATTAATAATGGCATATTCTGTTAAGTATAAATTACAGTATCACAAACATAGAAACCATGCAATAGAGTCTTAAATTTGATGTGAGTGTCTGGACACAGGGAGAGTCCCAGAGTTGGCTACACTGTCTTTTATGTTCTTCCAAAGAAGCTTCTTTCATTTTGACAAAATGTAATTACTTTGGCATTAGTTTACTAGTTTACAAGTTTACTTTTAAGCTTGTTCCTTTGTTCTCAAGTAATTTCTTAGAGAAACAATTGGCATTGCTTAAACTTTTTGAGCCATTCCTTAAGTCCTTCTATGAAATGAAATTTGTGCTACTAATTATATGATTCCAGACAGCGCAGTTGAGAATGTTATCTGATAAAGGGCAAGTTGGATTTAGGGTCTTGTGAGTTTCTGTTCCAGTTGCACAATACACTTTTATTGAAAGATGAACTTAGGCCAGTGTATTTATTAGTAATTTTTAATATGGGATCAGTAATACCCAATTTTGGTGATTAAATATTTGAAGTGATATGTATTTTTTTGTGAATAGAGCATGAAGGAGGACTTTAAATAGTACTGCATGAGCCTATCAGTTTCCTTCATGAACTTTTCTACTAGAATTAGCAGCTGGAAGCAAATGGCAATGTAACTTTTTATTTTCTGTATGTTAAACAAGATTAATTAAACCAGGAAGATAGAAACAAAATATTACTAATATAATCTCAAATGTGTTGCTGTTGCAAAATGTTAAATTACCTCACCTGTAAGCATGTTTCTTCTAGAAGTTTATATAATCTAAAAACATTTTATGTATAGACCTGTATATTTGATCTCTACAGTTTTGGTAGAGATGCCAAAGTTGTTCACTTCTTGGGGGCAACAAAACCCTGGAACTACAAATACAACCTTCAAACAAAGAGAGTTATGCAGGATGGCACCACCTCTGGATCTTTTCATCAGCTGTCATTTCTTGCCCTCTGGTGGAATATATACAGTGCCAGTATATTGCCCTTGTTGGAAAAACTTCAAAAGATGGAAGAATCAAAATCTGAGGAATGCAAGGTAACTGAGAAGGAGTTAATGGGAATATGTTGGAATCAAAACCAAAAATTCTGAAAATCGGTAAAGGAAGAAATTATATGATGTGGTGGGCTGACTCTGGCTGGATTCCAAGTGACCACCAAAGCCAGTCTATCACTCTCCTCCTAAGATGGACAGGGGAGAGAAAATGTAAGGAAAGGCTCATGGGTCTGTATAAGGACAGGGAGAGATCTCTCACCAGGTACCATCAAAGGTGAAACAGGATGAACTTCGGGAAATTAATCAAATCTACCAATTTAAATCAGAGTAGATCAAATTTACCCATTACCAGTCAAATCAGAGTAGAGTAACAAGAAATAACCCCAAATTTGGAACACCTACCCTAATCCTTCACTTCTTCCTGGGTTCAACTTTACTCCCTGTTTTCTCTGACTTCCCCCTCCCCCACCAATGGCACATGGGGATGGGGAATGAGGACTGTGGTCAATTCATTATATGGTGTCTCTGCTGCTCCTTCCTCCTCCTCTGGGGTTGGATTTCTCACACTCTTTCCCTGCTCCAGTCCCTCCCATGGGAGACAGTCCTTCATGGACTTTCCTAACATGAGTCCTTCCCATGAGCTGTGGGATGCAGTCCCTCAGGGACTGCCTGTCCACAGTGTGGGTCTCCTATGGAGTCACAAGTCCTGCCAGCAAACCTGCTCCACTGCAGGATCCTTTCTTCATAGGCCCAGTAATCCTGCCAGGAGCCTGCTCCACCATGGGTTTTCCATGGAGTCACAGCCTCCTTCACACATCAACCTGCTGTGGTGTGGGGTCCACCATGGGGTGCAGGTGGATCTATATTCCACCATGGATCTCCATGGGCTACAGAAGGACATCCTGATGCACTGTGGGATGCAGGGCTATCTCTGCTCTGGCATCTGGAGCACCTCTTCCCCTTTGTTCTTTGGTGACCCTAGTGCATACAGGGCTGTTACTCACACATATTCTCATTCCTCTCTCTGTCCAGTTGCAAGGAAACTCCTTCCTCCTTTTAAGAAGGAGGGTTTTCCTCCTCCTTAAATTTCATATCCCAAAGATGCTGCCACCATCACTGACGAGCTTGGCCTTGGCCAGTGACAGGTCCATTTTGGAGCCAGCTGGCATTGGCTCCATTGGGTTTGAGGGAAACTTCAAGGAGCTTCTCACAGAATCTACCCTGCTACTAAAACCTTGCCATGCAATTCCAATATGTGTGGAAAACTTAGGATCTGTTGGTCGGTAGTAGAAATGTCCAAAATAGCCATTTAGGAAGGATTTCTTGCACTATCTGCTTTCCCAAGATATCCTGCGGCCATCTTCTTAATTGATGAAGTTTTTATGGTAATATGTGTGCATATGGAATATGATACAAATTACCCAGAGAAGGGATAATCTGGCATATGAAACAAACAGACTCTTGTTTCTTTTGTAGCTAAATTGATATAGACCATGTAACTAGCTCTTGAACTGTAATAAAATTTACCTTCTCAGAACAACGTTATAACTTGTTTTATGAGGTCATAACAAATAAATCAGGTTTGCAAAAGCAGTGATAATTGCATTTAAGATCTTATGTACAGTACTCCTATGTCATCAAACATTTATTGATCTTTATGCCTTTTTTTTTCCAAAGGAAATGCAGCAATGTGCTTTCCATGAATAGAATTTTAAAAATCTGTTTATAAATAGATGATTTCTTAGAGACCAGTAGCATAAATAAATGTGTAGAAGTACAATTTTTAATTTTGTATCCAGACATGACAAATTAGATCCCATTTATGCATATGCAAATATTTTCTTAATGTCTTGTAATATTAAATTATTAACATAATTGAACTAATTGCATAGTCCTCTTAAGATCAGTTAAATATTTCCCATCAAAGCCCCAGAGGATAATTTGGCTTGTTAACCTCATGACAAATTGGAAAGCAGGGGAAGGAATGGGTAGTTTTTGATCTTATACTTAAACATGCTTTAATTTTTAAGGCATTGTATATTAAAAAAATATTTCAACTATGGTAAATGAAGGTAGAAATACCTGTTAGGTTTACCTCATGATGCTGGTGTACTTATGAGTGCAAAAAAGCAAAAACCTAAACTGCAGCATACTCTAAATCTAGGACCATATACTTTTTTTGCATTAAGTTATTCCTTAAATGATGAAAACCCTCTAAGGAGGTGCTGCTGTTGTAAATAAGTTATTGCTGTCCTGAAAATTGTATTTCAGTGGTGAGATGTTCTTGTTGTCATTAGCATGCTTTCAATGGAGTTGAAGTTACTCTGAAGAAGGAGAAGGTCAGTCCTTACGTGGCCAGCTCTCTACAAAAGCCTGAGCTCCCAGAGCAGACAAGTGAAGTAAATCCCACAGCATGCTCACCTGAGGAACTTGCTTTCAAAGCTGTGAGTGTGTTGTATATTATTATATGCAGAAACAAATTCAAATTATATACTAAGAGGAGATTCTTTCATTATGCTTCTGATCTGGAAAATCGTATCTTCAATTTAGCTGTAGCGATTGAATTTTCTCACTAGCATTAAAAATAATCTAAAGCCTATTTATTATCTTTAATCTTTAGTTATGCATGTATGATGTGTCTGGAAGTTGAAAGAGTTTGCTTTGCATTTTAGGAAGAGGTTATTTATTCAAAGTTGTTAAGTACTTAATCAAATGTAATATAAAAAAATTTGCTACCAGAGTAATATTTTGAATGTTAACATTTTTGTGAATTAATATGTTTAAAACTAGAATCCTTTCTATCATTCTTCTGCAGAAAGCTTTTTCCCACAAGTGGTGACCCAGAAAACTGTTTCCCAAATTTCTGTGACTTGAGCAAAAAGAAGAGCCTTGAAAAATTCCACTAATGAATATTGCAGTCTTTCTGCTTCTTTTGTCACTTTTCTTGTATTTGTGTGTTTGTGTTGCACTGAATCTCCTTATTTTATGCAGGAATTAATTTGGAAATAATGGCACAATGCCTCTGCAGGTGTAAGCCATTACATATTGCGTGATAAACCGTATTACACCATGGTACAACTGGGAGAAAATAAAATTAGTGTTCTAATGTCATCTGCATTGTAATTTGTGAACTACACTCTAGAATGATGAAGACAACTTTCAAGATGTTCTTTCCTTCATTTCTTTAGGCTATAGTTTCTCTATAAAGTAAAACTCTAATTTTCCTTTCCCACTTCTGCCCCGCATCCTCACCCTTCTTCCCTTTCCCTTCCGAATGTGAAGGGGCTGAAGGAAAACTGCAAACCTGCAGTTATGGAACTGCAGTTCCATAATAAGTTAAGAATAAAGAATAATTTATTTGCAAAGGATGTATTTTCTTGTGTGCCTTATGCATCTGACTTCATTGGAAAGGAGTAAACTAAATAGGGACACATTATCAAGACGTTTGTTTGGAGTAAAAAAAATAATGATGTTCACCTAAAGTAGTGATGGTCACCAAATTAAATTTTCATTAAAATTTAAATTTCTATTACTAGGATTGGCTTATCAGAAGACCTTATTCATTAGAAAGTAATAGCCTGGTTCCCTTCTTACTTAAGAATACCATTGTACCAGTTTTTGTCTTGTGGGATTGTTTTGGGGGAAAAGACTTTTGGGGTTTGTCTACTCATTTATGTTTTGCTAGCTCTCTAAAACAAATATTATGGACAATATATTTTGGGCAATATATTTTACCACTGTTTCGGAATACTTTGTTCTTTTCGTATTTTGAGCTTACCTGAGAGCAAGCTATAATCCTGAAATGAGATTTTTCTTGTTGAATTTTGGCCTCATGAATAGTAGGAATCATGAATGGTAAGCTTGCTTCCCAGGCTGTATGTGTAGTCACTGAAAAATGACAGCCACTTTGAACCTATTTTAGGATGAGATGAGCTGCCCTCTAGAGGTACTTATCCTAGATTGATTATAAGTAGGAGTTTTAAATCAATGCCATTTTTGATAGCTAAAGCTGGGTGACTTAAATTTTCTCCTTGGTGACAATGTGCTTCCTTGCTTTCCTCCCATCCATTGCTTCACCCTCCCCCAAGACTGAAAGTGATTGTATTGTATTAATTCTCATGAAAAGGAAATTATGAGAAAATATGCTCTTAATAAAACCTCAGTGGCTGTATTTTAGCAACCTGTATATGAAGTCGAACCAAGAGATTCTAATGACCATCCCTCTGAGCCTGACAGACCTTCAGAAGAACCTGTATTTCAACCTGCATTTCAGGAAACCTCAGAAATGGTACATGTAGCTTTGTGCATTGAACATCTTTTAATAACTGCATGTGTGTCTTTGCTGCCAACATAATTTTGGGAAAGCTCTACTAATTATAATGCAATGTGCAAATAAATTCCTTAATCTTTTAGCCACTTAATTCCTTAAGTGTTTCCAATACTGCGTTGTGATCCCTTTCGTTTTATTTTCAAAACTTTGAGCTTTTAAATGTGTGTTTTCCTGTGCTAGTCCTCGAGTAATCAATGCATGGTGTTAATTTTAGTTCTCCTGTACTAACACAAGCAAAGCTGTCTGGGTATTTTCTGTTTGTTAGTTGTGTTGTGGTTTTTTTTTGTTGTGAGTTTTTTTACCTGCTGAAGTGATGTTTCCAAGCAAGTGGGAAGGGAACATGCAGGAGCCAGAGTGACTAGGCTTTCCTTTGTGACCTTGCACTGCATTTAGAGATACTTGTACATGTGGGCAGTGTGACAACAGGGGCAGACTTGGTGTTGATGGGGTTGACAGGATGTTAAGGATTTGTGAGGTACATAACACAGCTCTTTCCTAATGAGTTTTTTTTGTATGATTGCAAGGCACTGTAGTGAAATACTTTAGGACTGAGAAGCAAAACTGTAGCTCCTGAGCAGCCAGGGGTGTTTGGGCCCCAGCTAAAATTCTTAATTTCTAAAAATATTATGATTCTGGTCATCTTGGTAATGTCTTCCAAAGCTGTTGATAAAACTTGCTAAACATAAAGAAAGAAATCTTCACACCTTACTGTGTGTTGGTTGTTTGAAATACCTTGTCTTCTGTAAGTCCTATGCCTTATCTCATTACAACTTGCAGATGTAATGGATATTCCAGGGCATTTAAACAGTTTAAGACACTGATTCCTGCCCATTAATTCTATTCTGAAACATTTTTACCTTGGAATTTGTGAAGACTTCACTACAAAGCCGTACTTGTTGATTTTAGTTTTGTTTACAATATGAGATGGGTTGTTTTCCCATGAGCCTCTTTGAATAGTACTGAAAGCAGTTTTTTAGTGGCTGGCTTGGTTAGTCCTTGTTATTTTTCATCTTTATTACAGGTTGTAATTGTTGGGATGTTCCTTTTTTTGCTGCCATTGGTCAGCTGGAGACACAGTTTTCCTTTTATGTGGTAGAAATCATCACTAATAAAACGTCTTGCATTTGTGCACCTATGATGACTTGACTTTGAACCAGCATTTATAATTTTGGAGTGTCATTCAAAATGAACTAGCTGTTGGTATAATGAACAGTGTCCATACTTTGAATTAATTTATTAAATAATGTATCTCACATCTGCCAAATAATATTGATCTCACTGGGGTTCAAATAAGACTAATTACCAAAAATTCTAGAAATGTATGTTCACATGAAAGCCTGTTAGAGACAAGATTTGAACAGGTAAATTATAAACTTTTCAATGTAGCAGGTATTCAACTGTAACCAGGCAGTATTTGTAATATTTTCATTGTATTGTTGCTGAGTATGCCAAGATCCGAGTTAAGATCAGTAAAATAAATGTTTGGTATGTTCAAAGATGCCATGGAAAGTAGAAAAACCATGGGAAAATGAGGCCACATTATCAAAACAGGAGTGAACATTTTAACATTGTTTATTTCATTGTTTTAACTGGGAGTATACAGTGCAGAAGTTTATCATTTAAGGTTTAAAGTCACAATATTGAAAAAAGAAAAACCAAATGACTGTTTTCCCTCTCTTCTTCCCACAGAACGAGGTTTCACATTTTGTTTCAGAGCTGTCTATTCACTTCAAACCAGCAAAACCAACTCCAGAAGATGAACGGAGAAAATGGGAGGAAGGACGCATGGACTATATGGGGAAAGATGCTTTTGAACATATCAAAAAGAAATTGGATGCATTTTTACACTAAGACAGGGTGTACTGTTATGCCCGTCTAATAGATTTCTTTATAAATGCAATTCTTGAATGCTTGGCTGTCTTAACCAGTTTAGCTGACAGCAGTTAGAGGTGATTATGGATCCTCATACATTCTTGGGGGACCTTACCAGATACAGAATCAGGTATCAGGTTTTTATAGGTTTTTAACTGATAAATGTGCCTCAACTTTATTGTTACATGTGTCTCATCTTCATTTTTCTCACACAGTGCCTTCTAAAGAATAATGGATGGTACCTTATTGAGTATGGACTCTCATGTATTTATCACTCTTCCCTGATGCACCCCATCTGCAGAAACAGTCACATGTAGGAAACATGTTAAAAGTTGAGATTGTTTTGGAAGTTGAACTTTTCCCGAACTGAGATTATTCCCAAAGTACATTCAGAAATTGCTCTTAAGTATTTAAATAAAAAGAACTTATTCTTGAAACCAAATTAACGCCTTCAAGGATGACCATGATGTAGACTTCAATATGGGAAAAAAGTGATGAAATCCTGGACTCATAGTAGTCTGCAACAAAACTTTTTAATTTAAACATATTTAGGATTAGAGGAACTTCAGACTTCATCTGTGATCCCTAGTGGATGCTCTACTCAGTTATTGGCAGCTGCTCAGCTCCATAACTAGTGTGAGGAAGCATGGTTTAAAACTCTTTAGGACAGATTGATAATGTAGGTTAACCTTTTATATTGTTGCCATAGGATATTGATGCTTTTAAAGATATTGTAAGCTTTAGTTGCATATTCTGAGTTGTGTAGTCAGAAGAAGAAACACTGACAGTATGGTGTAAACCTTCTGGTGCTTCTTATAAATTTGTTTACAGTACTTCAAACGGCAGCTGATAAAGGCCTTCTTTGGCTTAGCATTGTTGTCCCATACTGCAGGCAACTTGAGTGCAACTGAAAACAAAATTGGCACTCGTTTTAGTAAACAGGCCCTATGAAGATTTTTTAACAACAGCTGTGTGTGGGAACCAATAAATCTCCGAATTCCAAATAACAGAAAAAATCTACTGATGAGACTGCATTATATTAAGGACATTTATGGGGGAATGTTTTGTGTATTTGTGTACTTTGACTTATCTCAGTGAGTTTACTTTAACAAGTAAAATACTTTTTTTCAAAGCAAAAAAATTTTAAAGAAAGAGTCTTGACATTTATGCTAATATATTAATAGATTGGACAGTTGTTTGTGACCTCGCTCAATATTGGAATAAGAATTCTGCAGTGATGTTGCAGGACTTGAAACGTTTTTGTCTAAATACATCACAAATTTTGGCAGAGATATACCTAATGAAATATCTTGGGAATTCTGTCTAAAAGCAATGATGTACCATTATGCATAGATGCTAGCAGGAAAAACGGATAGCAGGTTAGGAGGGAAGAAGCAAATCTTACTTTTTTTCCTCCTAACATAAAGGATAAGAGGGTCGGGCAGGGAATAAATGCACAAATTAGGAAAGGAATGAAAGAGTCAAAAGGTCCCTTTAAAGAAGGAAAAAAAAAAATCTTTGAGTATCTTAGAATGACTTCCTAATGTTCAGATTAGTGAATTTGCTTTCACTTTTGTAGGTATTTCTGATTTTATCTAGTTCTCATTTATCCTTAAACTCTTAACTGGGGAATCCCTCTGTTGAATACAAGCTTCTAGGTCAAGTGAGGTGTTCAGGGGCAGCAGAGAAATTGAGAACAGCTCTTCCTCTGCCTAACCTTGGCACCCTCGCTAGCCTGTGTTCCTGGGCAGGTGACCTTCACACATTAACACAGGTAGGTGTGTTCTACCTCTGGTGCTGTGGCCCTGTGCAGCAGCTGCAGTGTGCCCTTACTCGTGTGGCATTTGGTTATCCCTGTTCCTTAGTGATGCACGTCTGAGAAAGTCCTCTGTTTTATAAACATTATTGCTAATATACTCTTAACAGCTTTTGAAGACTATATAAAGCTGTAGCCAGCAATGTGAACTCATGCTTCATGCAGCTGTACTTTTTATATTAACTAGTAGATCTTATTTCAGATAATGGAAGAAAAACTACTGATATGAAATCAGTAACTGAGAGGTTTTAAAAATAGGCATATGATTTTAGTCAAATGTGTCATTATGTACATTTCAAACTGTTAATATGTACAGTGGAACTCTGTGTGGCTTATACAATGTTTTGCAAAGAATTGTAGTACAATAATGTAATGGAAATAAAAGAAATGGAAAAGATATATGAAGTCGTGCTTATCAGACGATGAACAGCTCTAGGTTGTTTATATTATGCCAGGGAATATTACTTGTGAGTAAATAACTAGTTATTTAATTTCTTTTTTAAATTTTGTTTAATTGCTTTTGAGACATTAGCATTACCTGCTGAGCAGAATTAAAAGTTGAGAGTAATAATTATTTCTACAGACATACATAATTATAATATTTAGGATCTCTTGAGTTAGCAAACAGTAGTTGGTTTATTGTATTTCATGGAAAAGTATAGCTGTTAAGTGCCCTGCCCTAATTTTTGTGTCCTGTCTTCACACACAAAAAGTTGAACTAGTTACTGGCAATTTAGTATTGCAGTGGCTTCTGGCGCACAACTGCTGCCACCAGGGTGTGAAAAGGGAGAAGTTTGTATGTGAATCCAGTGCTGTGTTTCAGGCAGCATTCTGGGCTTTTATGGCCATCAGTTCTGAAATCCTGGGTCACAGGCAGGTCTGAGCGGTGTTATGGGCTGCCTGTGGCCATGAACCACAGTGCTGAGTTGAATGTGTCTTGAAAAAAAAAAAACCTACCAAGCTTCACCTGCAATTTTTTTCCAACATTAAAGTGTAGTATAGCCTCAAGCATTTTAAGGGTAAAGAAGGTTAAGAAATGTAAGCTTTTTGGTGGCACTATTCATCTTCAAACACAGCCAGACTATGACTTACTGTGTGGAGTAGACTGTTTTGAGAGAACAACTTGTGTTTAAAACAAAGCATGCTAATTATTCTGTCATTTGCTTGGAGATTTTAGTCATAGCTTTTTATTTGCCATACAACAATTTTATTGGGTGCTCTTCATGAATAAGAAGGAGATAGTGTGGGTGCGCCACAGGGAAAATTCTTGAAAATTTTAGACATGTGGGTTAATGAACTTTCCTAGCCTACAGGAAAAGGAGATTGGTGTTCTTGAAATACCCTTTATTTACTGTGTAGTGTTTTGTAAGGATATTTCCATTTGGTTTGTTCTTGGCAAATAAGTTTTCTTTGTCTCTTTATATAAGTCAGCTCACAGCAATGGTTTTTCTAAAGCTGGTACTTGAAAAAATGCTTTGTTTTGTTTGGTTTTCTTCCCCTTGATTTTTCTATCCATGAATGGGAGGCTGGGTTAGTAGCAGGTGCTCAGGACTTTTCTGTGCTTCTATAAACAGCTTGGTTTTCACCAGTAAGTCTGAAGTATGTCTGTTTATTCCTTAATGGATCTGATGCTGTTGCTTTCCTAATCTAAACTGTTTTGATTCCTATGACTTTGAAAATAACATTAAATGGACCTGTTTTCTTAATTCATATCTCATTAATTCAAATCTCACATTCCAGTTTCCCCCCAGTTTTCTTTTTATTATTTTGGGATTTTATTTCTGTGGTGTGAATTTTTGTTGGTTTGGGGGTTTTTTTGTATGGTTGGTTGTTTTTTTTAATCAACCCAATATATGAGATTAAATGCATGGTAGTAAATTTTTAGATAGCCTCCAAAAATAGGTGTCAGTTAAGACTGCTCACTGAAGTAGTCTGCTTTGTTAGTATATTGGTTGCAAAATGTTTCAGCTAAAATTCTGTTCATCCAAAGTTGGGTGGCTCATAGTTTATTTTGTACTAAAAATTAAAAGCAGTGACACTCAAGTTATATTTTGCATCATCATATAAACTTTCATTTTGTAATAACATCATACCATAATTATAGCAAAGGTAGCTAAAAAATACAGTAATATATAATTGATTTAAACTTATAAATAATAATTGCTAGAAAACAGAAAGTTATACTAACAAAGGGGAAAAAATACAGTTGCAAGAACTTTTTTATTGAGTTATACTCTGACTGCTGTCAGAACTTCAACAAATTGGAGGTATAAAATCCCTAAAATTCAGACAGCCAGTCTCTTAGTTGTGATTATCTTAATATTTTCAGGATGGCATAACATTAACTGCCTTGGAGAAGTATTTGTTCAATTTTATGGCACCGTGCATCATTCTGAACAATGATAAATACATAAAACAGATAATTTGTTTATTTTATAGCAATAAGATTTTCAGAGCTTTCTCATAGGATTAAGTACTTGGAACAGAACTGATTGCATGCCATGGATGGGTACCTGGTTTACCTTTTGTTTAGTTTAGAGGGTTTTTTTTTCCTTTTAAAACCTCCATAAATTCTTTCTGTTTCCAAACCTTTTATTTACAGCTTTTAGACAAGTGGCAGAGCAGAAGCCAGGGTTGTTTGGATCCTCTAGTAACTCCATTTATCTCAACATGGGGAGTTGCACTCTGTTTTTTATTTTCTGGCATTGAAAAAAATCTTAGTAATGCAGTACTGTGGTAATCCAATAAGAAACAAGGATTTGACTAAACATGAGTTTTTTAATGGAGTCGATTAGGTGTAGCATTACAATCAAAACGTCCTATAAAAATCTTCCAGGGTCGTATTGAGTTCAACACTATATATATGCCTCTGTGTATGTTAACCTACAATCTGTCATGAGCTAAAGGTTTTTGTTACTCCTTGGTCATTTATGTAAATGCCTCTCAAATTTACTCAGTTCTTGGGAATATTTCAAGCTGTATAAATTTTGAGCTCAAATTGCTTTTCTCAGTTTATTTGTTACACAACTATTTTGCATCCTTAGAAGATGGGATCTTGTGATCTGTGTGCTGGCACTCCCTTGAGTCCCAGCAGGGAGCAAAGCAATGTGTCTAATATTTAAACATGGTGAAGTGAGGCTTCTTAGAAGCTTATTGTCTCACTCCTGTGAGACTTGACAATTACTCTGTTGAGTCAGTCTAATGCAACAATTCCAAATGTCATTTAATAATGATCAAACGAGTTAAGTGGAAGTCAGCTTCGTACAACATGAATGTCAAACATTTACACAGTACAACCACAGCTCTTTCAGTAAAACAAACTTCATTTGTTACAGAGTATTACTTCTCTCTCTATGGTGTCTATATTAAACCATATGTAGGCACATTCTTGTATGGCTTGGAGATTGGCCAGTTGTCCCAGGTTTTCCTAACAGGCCATTTTAGGTAGTCCTTGTGCCTTGCTACAAAGGGACGAACCATGAGAAAAGAAGGGAGAAAGCATACAATTTAGGCTTTATTCTTGTATTAATATATTTTGAAAAATATCATTATAGATGATTTTTCAAGGAAACCTACAGAACTGAATTAAGAATTTCTTCATTCTAGTGTTATTCAAGAAGGTTTTGTGACAGAGTTTTTGCCTAGAAATGCATTTTATGTGAAAGGGCTCATGAGGACAACTCAAGTGTGATATTGGGTTCATCTGCTTTATGGGGAGTATACATTTGCCAGAAGATCAGAAGAACAGCTTCTGCAGAGCTTACATGTTCTTGTTAAGTTGTATACAGACAAAAAGATTTACAACCAATCCATGGCTAGGATCTGCATGTAACACATAAAATAATTAACTACTTTTCCTGCTTACCACTGTTTCCTCAAAATTTGTACATTTTAAAATACATTTAGCTTTAGACAGTGAAAGTAATTTAGGAGTGAAAATAGTTTTCTTTCCTGTCCTTTCTCTTTTTTTGAAGTGATATACATCCAATTCAGCAATTTCCCATTACTTTGCTCTCCTTCTCGCCTGCAGATCCTCTGTGTGCATTGTCTGCCCTCTCCCTCTCTCTGTGGGAAAAGCACATTTCCCTGTGCCTGGCTGAGGCCTCCTGACAGTTGACAAAAGCTGGTTCTTCTATGCTGCCAGTCCTAATTTTTCCTCCTCCTGCCTGAAAGTGTCTCTGGTTTTCTACAGATGCCAGCTAAGATAAAATTATCTGCTTGGATGTCAGAAAGGCAATGTGGATATCTATGTAGCTCCTTAGCACACTCCTCTGACTCTATACAGCAGTTCAGCAAATTTAATTTTCAGAGGAATGAGGTGTCAGACCAATGTTTAATGTTCACATTTATACAGGGTGATTTTTTCACACTCTGTTTAGAGATGGAGTTCTGGGTCTTGCTGATGTACTGGCCCTTCTAGTCTGGCTTCCTAAAGTTTGGGTTTATGCTTGCATGCTGAGTGGGTGCTTGAACACTAACCCAGCCCCTGGTAAATGCTCTCATCATGGCCTAGTGTGGGACTGGACATGTTCTTGTGTGTAAGTCCTAGAACATGCTGAGTTGGAAAGGACCCATCAGGATCACAGGGTCCATCTCCTGGCCCTGTGCAGGACATCCCAAGAGTCACACCATGTGACTGAGAGCATTGCCCCAGTGCTGTTCAGTGCTCAACCACCTTCTGTGTGAAAAACTTTTTCCTGATACTTAACCTAATGATTGGAGTGGGTGAGTGGGGAAGCCAGTGAAGTGAACTGAGAAAAAACTTATCCTTGTACTTAACTGATAATGTAGATGCTACTGAGTTGACTGGCTTGACAGTTTTGGCTTTGTTCCCCGCTGAGCAGTAGGATTTGCCCTCCATTTCTGATTCAGCCAAACTGGCTTTAAAACGTGTGGTCTTTTATGCACTTTTCTCCCTGCATGAATCCAGTGAAATGCAGCTGCTGTCCCTGTCTGAAATGAATTTCAGTCCCTGTCAGACACAGAGAAGTGTCAAATCTGACAAGTCTGTATCAATGCTGGTGCAGATTTAAGCACTGAAGAGAGAACAAACATATTTTTGGATACTTCTATTAAGTGTAACATTGAGGCATCCAATCAGTTCATTTTCATGCATGCCCTGTTATTTATGTGGAATGTTTTCCATGTAACTTTCTTGGTGACCTTTTAGAGGAAAGGTGAAATGGCAAATAACCTGGAGACCTGCCTGGTCAGCTATTAAGAGACTTGCATTTGGTGCTGCATCATGGTCACAACCTATGCTGTTTAAACAGCAGTGACTCACCACACCCCAAACTAGCACACTGAGGTCAGGTAAGTCAGGAGGTTCCCTGAAACACTGCACAGGGTGCATAATCTAGGCATGCACTCTCTTCTGTCCCAAAGCTGATGAAAGGGATCTGCCATGGCAGCTCAGGAGCTGAGAGAGAGACTTGCTATGGACTTCTTATCTCTTCCTGCTTCTAGAAAGCAGAAAATGACATACAGGCTACCTTGGTCCTGAATAGAGCTGACCAGGTGTGGCTCCTCCAGACAGCAAGCTTTAAGGAAACATGCCACCTGAAACACCTGCTCTGCAGTTCTTACCATGGCTTGATACTTTTTAAAGCCTGGGTGACCATTACCTGTATAGTAGGTGTTGAATATATAGTGTTCAGGAAGACTTTGAAGTTTGAATCTGAGCCTCTTGCCCACAATCTACTTTTTTGAGGAGGAAAAATTACAGGAATCTCCATTTGAAAATCTGATTTGACACAAAATCCCTGCCAGAGCATGGTTAGGATTATATCTTGAGAGATGAATTTATTTAACCTAAGGGCAGCAAGAGAGGATTAGATCTTTTAATACCCTCCTCTTTCCTAATGGCTGTACAGAATGCTGACACTTGTTTGGCTTGGGGAATGTGACCTGTACACAGAAGTGATTACCCTGTGAGGTGATTTTTTTTTTAACACCTCCTACTGAAAACATAGTGTTATTTCACAAAACAAAGAATATTTTTCAGGAGGCATGATGGCATTCCTATGAAATCAGAGGCATTGTCACTCAAGTGGGACATGCAGGCTTATGAAGTGTTCTCACAGATAGGTCCCAAATTTTGCAATCTTCTCAAGGCAGCAGGAGGATGATTTTCAATGCTCTCACAAGTGAGATGCCCTAACTACATGGAAAACAGTATCAATATCAGTAATAACAACATCAGTAATAATTGTTTCAGAATAGCTAGGTACTTTGCTACTGATCTTGAGATGCTGAATTTAGCTATCTAATTTTTAAAACATACTTGTCAGTTCAGTTTTCCCTGGGAAATCTTACATGACGAATGTACAGATGATGAGGCAAAAAATTGCTGTAATTTAATAGGTGCTTTTTTCTGAGATGACAATGCATTTTGGTATATTTCCAAATTAAATGTGCCATTTTATTTTTTCATTATCATCATCCTTTCATTTTTGTACAACAGGTTAATTTTCATTAAAAACATAAGACCTGAACATGGATATCCTCTTGGGCTCAGTCCTGTTCTCTCAACAAGCGATATTTCCTATACAGACAACTGCTATTGAAAATTTGCTTGAATCGTGAGTAAGAAAAGAAATTTTGATTCATTTATTTGGTATTTAATCCTTAATTATTCACTTGAGGGATAGATTATACAGATGACCCCTAATTTTTTTTAAACCACAGCCTTACTTAATTTCTGTGGGTAAGAGAAAAGGTTGAAAAAACCAATCCCGTCTAGTTAATTTAATCTATATCTTTCAGTATAATTTAATCTATGTATCTAATCTTTATGACTGTGGTCATGTGAATATGAAAAATTATCAATTTCTTTAAAGCTAACTGTACTTTAACTTTGGTTTTAGACTATGCTTTGTTATTTTCTTCATGACACCAACAGAACGGGAACGTCCCACAGCATGGCTGCAGCCAAGGCTTCCATATATTATTGTAAGGAGACAGCTGTTGTGGGACTGGAGTCAGAGTCTTGCGATGCTCTTCCACAGCTCTTCTTATTCTCCTCACTACAGTGTCAAACAAGGGCTCAGTGTCAGCTGATAGAGGATTTGCCTCAGATGGATCCTGGGAGAGATTGAACAGCATCGGAGGGTCATGATGGGTTACACCATCCCCGAAACATGGACAAATTCCTCTTCTGAAACAGGCCCCAGAGGCTTCTGGCTGAAATACTGGAGTAGCATAATGAGCTTTCCATACGGTGCCACCTGTCGCAGGAGAAGCACATTTGAACAGCTTAATGTCTTTAGGAGCTGGGGGCTGGTCCCTGAAAGGTTGGATCATGTTTAAGTGATCTGCTTTGTTGTTCCAGGGGGAAGCTTATGTCATGGTTACTGCATACAGGGAGAAGGTGTTGTGGAAGCTGGCAGGGATTCAAGTAGTTTTTCTGGCTCATAGGTATACCTCAACTCTGGGTACCCTGTGCAGTATATGGATGGTTAGGCAAATATTTTCAGTACCGATGGAGTCTGCCTCTTTCTTGTTCCCCTTTAAAACTTTCTAAGCCTCTTGGTGGGGGGAAAATGGGGAATGTAGTCCCCAGTTTCTGGGTGTATATATTGATAGGTGGTTCCTCCTCTGGCTTTGTATATCTGAATGAAGAAGTACATTTAGGCAGAAACTGACTGCAGCTTATTTCTCTGCTCATGTTCCAGCATGCTTCCAAAAAGGGTGGTAAGTTCAGGCCTTTAAAATCTGGAGTCTAGTTTTTAAGTTAACATGAAGAAGGCAAATGGCTCACAGCTTTGGAGCTTGTACTTCATCAGGCTCTTGTATTGACCATGGGATAAGCACAGGTTTGTAACTTGTGGTGAAAAAGTAGTAAATTACTAGGACTACAGCTGAATATAGTTCATCAGGACATTTTACTTTTCCCTCTTATCTCCTTTTTCTCCTATTCCTTACCTCACATTTAGAAAGCACTACACTGAACTCAGAGGCAAGGATGTGCCCAGCAAGAAGACAGCAATTAGACACTATGTCTGAAAAAGGACACAAGAAGAAAGGGAGCATTCACCACTTGGAGTAATTTCTGTGCTCAAAGCATTAAAGAGCTGACAACAGCATTGTCCCTGCATGCAATTTTCTTTTTGGTTCAATGGAATGAGCTGAACTTTCCTTCCTTTCTTTTCTTGTGTCCAGAGCTCTTCTTTATGCCTGGAGCCTGCAGCTTTACTCTTCAGTCTCTCTCTTGTCACTACCCTAGAACAATATTTTGTGAATAAATAGAATTTTAAAACTTCTTAAAAGGTGATAGGGCACAAATAAGACATATTAAGGTTTAGGTAATATCTTAGATTAAAATATCCAGTTGCTGGCTAGCTGGCTGGCACTGTATTTCTTTATTTTCACCACACAGTTTCCACATCATGCTTCTGCACTTTTATGGAGGGATGGTGTCTCAATGGTTCTGAAATGTTTAGGTGTAAGAAAATGAAGATAAATGCTAGATATCTCAATTTCTGAAATTGTGAAAGAAAGGATAAAAAATGTTTTCTGAAAGAAACAGGGTTAGAGCGTGGTTGTGATATTGCCAAGGTTGTGGATTCAGTCCCTGAATGGGTCATTTCCTTATGAGCTGGACTTGATGATCCTTATGGGGCCTTTTCCAGCTCAGAATATCATGGATCTGGAAATAAAGTTGAAATCTTTCAACTTTCTGACAGCTTATGAGGGCAGACAGATACTCCTTAGATCTGTTTGAGTATTTGCTTTGCTGCTGGCTGGATGTCCACTGCATCCTTAAGCTTATCCCTGTTTTGTTACTAAAAAGATGTTTGTTTTGTGACAGAAGTGCAAACATCCTCTGTGATATCAATATGCCCAGAGTATGGGATTTGCTTCTTATGTCTGTTGGTCAGGCAGCATAGATATTTCTTACAAGGAGTTAAATGAGCACTCCCTGGGACATGTCTTTTTTCTGAATATCTAGCTCTAGCTGGAGTGCTGTTATGATATTACTAAAATAATCATTTATTATATGATATGGACACATGGGCTTACCTAGATGTACCTAGAAATTAGTGATCAGCGTTCAGAAAAACTGAACTAAGTAGTCATTCTTTTCCATGAATAATTGAGCTGAATTCTTTATAATCATTACACTGTATGGCAATTTAGAGTAGTGAGTGTAGAGTGTCTGGGGAGAACTGTTCTGATTCTGCTAAATTTTAACATTCACTTTTCACAGCTACAAATAATTACTGGAGTTGCAGAGTGAGAGACAGACAAGTCCTTGTTAGTTCACTTTGAAGGACAGAGCAAGGCTGATTCTAATTAACCTGCATTAGTGACCTGAGTAGACAGCTGGGTTACAGAAGGATAAAAAAAAAAAGGTAGTAGAAGTCAGTGCTGATGAAAGCAGTGGGGGTTTCACTCATCTCCAAGAGGCAAAAAGGGATATACAATTTGCTACTGAAATAGCTCTGACAGAATCTGAAGGGTGCATGTGCATGTTAGGACAGCGTGTTAATTTAATATATCCAAGGGAAAGGAAACCTGCTGCTTCAAACCAAATATGCCTCAAACCCATCTCGTAACAATCAATTGGTTTAATGAGCAGAAATAAATGGACTGTCACTAACAAGACTTGTGGTGCAGAGGTAAAGGAAAGGACTCTTTAACATATAAACAAAGGATTCTTTTGGCTTCAGGGAAGGCCTTAAAGGATAGGTCCTGCTTGAGTGACATCAAGACACAATGGCTTGATATATAGGTATCTAGGTTGATCAAGAGACAGATGTTAATAAATAAGTAATGATAAGTAATCTGAGTGTGACATACTTGTAAATGAACTAAAACAGCCTGGTCTGTCAGCCCAATGAGAAGAAACTGCAGTTGCAGCAAAAAACCAAAATTTTTTGGCTTGGCTGAAAGCTGAGCTGCATATTTGAATAGGTGGTGTTTTATATGCAGAACATGGCATTGTTTTAGGCCCCTTGCCATAAACAGTTCAATGGGAAAAATTGTAGAAAGGCATGCATAAGAAATCTAAATGTGCACATGGCTTCATAGGAACATGAAATGCCACAAAATCCATCTTGCATCTGCATGTTGTATGCATATCTACTTAAGTAGAACTTACATAGTTTAGAAGAACAAGCAATGTAAGTTAGGCAAGGAAAACATCATGAGAACCTGAAAAGCAATTCTTCAAATGCCCCATTTGTTTGGAGTATGAATTTAGCCTCTCACTAAGGAAGTGTGGAATGACTCTCCTACCAGGAATATTATCCAGGAATTGGGGCAGTCAGACATGGCTTTTCTGCCCAGAAACATTCTGTGTGCACAAAAAATGGTATGCATTACAGAGAAACAAAGAGTTTCCTCCTCTCTAAGGATAGTGAGGGATTCTTGAAGCTTTACTTCCTAGGAAGCAAACCCCTTCATCTCAGGTGAGGCAAAACTAACACTGAGGCCTCGCAGAAGAACTGAGAGTTTGAGACAATTAATGAAGTATATATATGTATATTTGTGTATATTTTTACATTATACCCTATTGGAAGCTAGAGGGCATTACATAATTTCTGGCCTGCAGGAGGGGGATGTTTATACTCACTGTCCTTCTGGTGCCAGCGCACTGCATGCAGGAACACACCACAGTAGTGGAACAGGAACTCGTGCCTGGAGTGCTGCTCAGTCCCCTGCAGCAGGGGCAGCAAGGTGTGCCCATCCACGACCCTGATGGAGAGGACCAGAGTCAGCAGACAGCTTAAGAACTTTAAGTCTGCAGCTGAAGCATGAACAGTATTCATTCTGTGTGTACAGCATTAAGATTTCAAGTGTCATCACTAAACCAAGGTACTGTACAGATAATGAGCCCTGAGATTTTTAATTGGATGAATGTGTGGAGACCAGTAATTAGCAGTTACTAGAAGTTTTTGCATTTACAGTTAGTTCACACATCCTGCCTGGGGAGATCAGACACCATTACTGTAATTTTCCTGGGAGTGATAACAATAGTGAAGGCATGGTTCACAGGTTTTAATTTTGCCACCTGAAATAGAAAATATTGACACCTCTGTGAGCTCCAGTCCTTGTAAAAATAATTTTTAAAAAAGAAGCCACTTACCGAAGTGCCTAGAAATTTGGTTACAATCTGGGTTGTAAGTAGGTTTAGTTACAATCTACCAGTAACCTCTATGCTTTTTGCTGAAATGGCTTAGCCACCCACACTTTCTCTTGTCCTTTAGAAAAGTCTGGTTTTTTTCAGTCATTCCTAGTGTCCCAAATCAACAAAGTTTCTTTTCAGTGATAGGAGAACTGAGATAGTTAAATGACCCTTGATAAAACATAAAAGTTTTTTTCTTTGCCTTTTTCACATAAGCAAAAAAGATGGGGAATGCTGTGCAGAAAGAAAGCTAGAGAAATGCCTGTTTTAGAAACAAAGAGAATTTAACATGTGGCTGTTAGGATGCATGACACAGTCAGCTTCTGTCTGAATAAAGAGAAGCAATATGATTTATGAAGCCACCTCTATACCTGTCTTGAGGCACTGCTCCTCCAGCCAGTTGAACTACTGTAGGATAAATGTCCATAAGGCTTGTAGGTTCATCGATAACTGTGCCTGCAGGCAACACTCCTGGCCATCTAACTATACCTGGAACACGGATTCCTCCTTCCCAGCCTCCCATTCCTTTTCCACCTGTTATAGAAGGGGGAGAAGTATCAAAAAGATAAAAGAAGATACCAGATGTTTATTGTGCATATATAGGAAAATGTTTTAAAACTTTCAGGGTATTTCACACACCTTTAATGAAAACATACTATATCCTGGAATGATAGTAGACTGTCATTCAGCAGTGGCTCTTCTCATTATTTGTATGTTTCAGCCCTACAATCCAAGACTATAATCCCATAATATAGTTTATTAAATGTAGTCTGTTTGGATATATTTTTTCAATCACTCTTTTTTTTAAGAGATAGTCTTGTGCATGTACAAACTACTAAAATTTTACCTTTATATATCCCATTCCATCCACCCAACTGAGAATTTCCTCTGTGAGCCTCTAAGAATCCTCCATGATCAGATGCAAAATAAATGAATGTGGTATTCTTCAAGCCCTCTTTGTCAATAACATCCAGAAACCTGCCTATAAACAAAGCAAAACATCATAATTACATCAGCAGATACAGTCAGATTTTTTTAGGCCTTGACTCCACATTCAGTGAAGACTGAGTCTTTCCATTTGCCTGAATGAGTTCTGTTTTGATTTACCACATTCAATACCATGTCAAAGACACCTTGACAAATGAGATGGATGGGCAATCACCAGCCATGTGAAGTCTAACAAGGGAAAGTGCAGGAAAGTGCACCTGAGATAAGGCAATCCTTGTTATCTGTGTGCACCGAGGAAGGAGATGCTGGAAAGCAGCACTGCAGAAAGGGACCTGGGAGTCCCGGTCCATGGCAAGTTGAACAGTGTCCTGGCAATGGCAAGTCAGCAGTGCCCTGGCAGCCAGGAGGGCCATCCTGGGATGTCCTGGGGGACATCAGGCACAGCATGGCCAGCCAGGTAAGGGAAGGGATTGTCCTGCTCTGCTCTGCACTGTGGCAACCTCACCTCGAGTGCTGGGGGCAGTTTTGGGTGCCACAACATAAGAAATACCTTTCTAAGCAATTAGAGAGCATCCAAAGGAGGGCCATGAGGATGATGAAGGGCCTTAAGGGGAAGCCTTATAAGGAGTGGCTGAGGTCACTTGGTCTGTTTAGCCTAAAGGAGACTGAAGGGAGACCTCTTTGCAGTTTTCAGCATCCTTTTGAGGGGTAGCATAGGGGCAGACACTGATCTCTGCTCTAAGGACTAGTGAGAGGACCTGAGGAAATAAAATGAAGATGTGCCCATGGAGGTTTAGGTAAGATATCAGGAAAAAGTTTTCCACCCAGAGAGTGGTTGGGCATTGGAACAAGCTCTGTGGCAAAATGTTGACAGCACCAGCCTGACAGAGTTCAAGGAATGTTTGGACAATTCTCTCAAGCACACACTGCCATTCCTGGGGTGTCCTGCACAAGGGCAGGAGTTGGACTTTGATGATCCTGTTTGGTCTCTTCCAACTCAGCATATTCTATGATTCTATGAAACAATAAGAGCCCAAGAGAAAGCTGATGAATGTTTATAATATTTGTTTCTGGTGTGTATAAAAACAGGAAAATAAAAAATAATAAAACAATTGGAAAATAAATGAGTGATACTTTAATTCAAGCTACTCAAAATACTCTGTCAGCTTTGTTCTGTAGATTCTGCATCAAGACTTGTTGCCTCAAACATCTTGAAAAGTTTAAATAATAGTACTGCTCTGATTACTGATAGAAAACTGCTGTGTCCTACCAGGAACTGAACAAGAACTCTGAGACCAGACTGCATACTATCAACCAAAATAATTTCCTGATGTCGGCAATAAAAACTTCATAGACAATAATTCAAACCTAACTTCATAGAGCATGTTTTCTGTACTGATCCCATCAAATGTTTATATAGAATATGATTTATCTTCAATTAATTGTCTTCATCAGCTTCTGCATCAAATATAGCTAAGAACAGCTTCCATACCTACAGAAGCAGCAGCGAAAGTTGAACTGCACAAAAAAAAAGCACAAGCCAGTGATCACCACTTTTGCTCAATCTCTTTTCCTTTCCTTTCCTGTCTGTCCTTGGTGAAACTAGTTATTGACCTTACCAAACACAAAAATAGTTTAGATTGAGTCTAGGTATATTGGTTCTGAATTAGACCCCAAATCAAGAGCTGTCCAAGTCTGGAAAGTTTTGTCCTCATTTGCTGCTATCCTGTTTCAACTACATGTTCTTTGTATCTTGACTTGTGCTATTCGTCTCTGCTTACAGAGGTTGTGTTTGAAGGTGGCTGGTGCCAAAAGGGGAAAGAGGAGCATGGCTGAGTCCTCTGGTTCAGCTGGATCTTGCAGGAGTTTTCAGCCTGTCCATTGAAAGCCGTCAGGTTCCTCTCAAATTACGATTTTGTAGACATGGTTATTGAGGGGAAAAAGGTTCAGGAATTGAATCGTGGCCTTGACAGGAGACAATTACTTTGTTAACAGAGCCTTCATTTTTGAAAAAATAGAAGCAGCAGCTCTCTCTCTCTTATTGAAAAGAAAAAAAACTAAGTAAAGTTAGGTTTTTAAACCAAATTAACCAATCAGAAATTTATCCTGATTCAAGAGCCTAGATTACAAGCTAAGGGAGTCTTCACTGACTTCACACAATTTATTAAGTGACACTCCATATCATTCTAACTTTTGGCTAGGAGGACTTCTGATTTTTTTTTTTTAATAAAAATAAATTAACAAATACACAAACCAACCACCATATTATGTAATAGTCAGCAGTGACTATTTACATCTTCTAAGACCAGAGCTGGAGAAATATCATACATTTTGATTAACAACATGATCAGAGATACATTTGGTTATTTGACTGCATTTAACATTTCAGCATGGAAGTATCTAATTTTAAAAAAATATACCAAACAAATCCTTACAAGGAGAGTTTAAGCTTTCATCTTAAGAAAATATAAAAGATGTATGGTTGTGGTATGGCAGTCTCTGAAATCAGCTAGTTGACCGAGGTGAGTTCACTGATTTTTACATATGCCAAAAGGGAGTTTGGTGATCACCCCTTCTACGCCTTTTACACATCCAAGTGAATGAAGAATTTTCTTCAAGACCAGTACTTACCCACCATCCAGTCCATCTCCTCTACATTATCTCCATACAGCCCATGCCTGCTTCTTCCCTGAAACTTCTCTGTGGTAATGAGAGGGGTGTGAACATGTAAAAGGGAAACAAAGAGAAGAAATGGTCTATGCTTGTTTCTGGAATAAAAGAAAACAACAGTCATTTATCTTCAAACTGTCACTCAAGCCAAAATATAACAGTATTAGAGTTTTGTTCTCAATTTACATTTTTGAGATCTAAACAATTTTTTTTTTTTGACGTCTTTTCAGCTTTGAAGTTTTCGGAGGCAGAAGGGATTAAAACATGTCCCTCAAAGATTTTTTTTTTTAATGTTAAGACCAAAACAGTAATGGGTTCTTTCTTTTTCCAGTTCCAAATTAGACATGCAAAACATTAAGTAAAAAACTACAAGAGGTCATAGCCAAAAGACTGACACATTCCTAGAAGCAAGGAGACTAGGACTAACATGACTAAATTTAAACATGGATGTGCATCATGAGCACCTGAGGTGTCCTCATGGAAGAGGCAGATTCCACCCACAATGAAACTGTATTGCTTCAACATCAAGCCAAGTAAGATATCCTAGGAACCTGAGATCACCTATGCTCAAGTTTTAGAGAAGGAATTTCTATTAACTCACATTTCCTTTAAAAAACACACAACCCCTAAATCCTGGCAGAAATATGGATACGCCCAGATTTAAGACAAAAATACTTTTAAAGACTTAGCAGTTTTTTCAAATCCAGTTGAGGTTACTGATAATAAATGAAGGCTATCTTGGGGGGAAAAAAACCCCCAAAACTGCAAACTAAATAAAACTCACTATCACTCTCCTGTTTGTAAAATATTATCTTCATATGACACTTTGTACAACAGTCTATTCATCACCCTAAGATAATTTTTCTGTGGTAGAAGGACACAGAGGCCAGGACCCCTTGGCATTGCTTGTTCCCTCCCAGTCTGCTTCTCACCTGCGCTGATTACCTTTCAATGAATGTAATTGCCTCCTTCAGCAAATTAGACGTAGTTTTTTGTAGGTTCATTGGTTGTTCAGTGATGTCATGGTTTCTCATCAGGATACAGTTCCAGTACTTGGTGAAACCATAGCTGGAGAACCAGGAGATGAAATGAAGGAGACCACAGATGGCCAGACAGATGATTATTTTCCATTTTACTGGGAATAAATTGGCAAGTTTTCCAATCACAAGGGTAAATACTGCAAAGATGATCATCTGAGTGTAAAACCAATACGCATCTTGCAACGATTTGGCCAATTCAGGATCATCTGTGCCTTGACACTCATTGAGAAGAGTAAAAGGCATGCCATAAAAATAGGCAAAACCATGATTTAAAGGATGGTGGCAGTGATCATGGCGGGTTTTGCAGTTCACACCCATATGCCACTTTCCTGGAAATAAAAAAGCAAAGATCTTAAATGCTATTTTAGGGTGTGTCTGCCTGTATTTCTCTGTTAAAGCCTAGCCAAGGGAGGAGCTGGTGTGGAATGGGGACAGATTCAGGGAGCAGTAGTGCAGCAGTAGTGCAGTGACAGACATTGATGAGGTCTTCTCTTAGCCATATCATCTCAAGGCTGAACAGCCCATCTCCCCAGCCTTTTCTCATAAGGGAGATACTTCAGTCCCCTAATTATCTTCATTGTTGATGAATAAGTTAAACAATACTGGGTTCAGTGCTTAGGGACACCACTGGTGACCACTTTTCCCTGTGCCACTGATTACAGCCCTCTGGGATCAGCTGTTCCGCCAGTTCTCAGCCCATCTCCCTGTCCACTCATCCAGTCCACACATCCAAAGTTTGCCTACAAGGATGCTGTGAGAGATAGTTTTTAAAACCTTGCTGAAATCAGTATCACTAAGACCACTATGATGAAATTGATATAATTAAGACCACTCTGGTGTCTCAGTGCCAACTGGCAGATGACATTTTTCTGCTCTAATACATCAGTAAATATCTCTGCGGGTTCATCCTAAAGCAATCTGTCCTGGGCAAACAAGATTCTTTCCTTTGAATTTACTTCCATTTGCAGTGTGTATTTATGTATTACATACACCTCATATTGTATTTTCCAGATATGCTGTACTCACATTGGACTTGTGGATAGTGTTCTAAAAACCCGGCTGATTTTTAAATTTATGCATACAAGAAAATCTAGTTTAACCGATCCTGGATATTTTGACCAAAAATGTATTTACAGAAGTAACCTAATTAGAATAACAAAAAATGAAAAGCCAACAACTTTTTTTCATACCTATAAGTGCTGTAGAATAACCTTGCTGGTAGAGTATTCCGGCAAAAGTACTTTCATTTGGTGGGAGCCCCCCTGAACCACCGTTCCAGAAGAGAACCTGCTGTTGGGTGCTGGATGCCATACCTAGAGAGGAATAATAGTCTTTAGGATAAAACAAGCCAGACCTCAGATTTCCAGTCTTCTCAGATTGTGTTTTCTAATGAATGGGACTCAGTTACCTAAGCCTAGCGCCTTTTTATAAGCCATTTCCTATGCCCTAGAATATTCTGCTTGACCTCCAAAATGATGTATTTTCCAAGTTCCATGTCATCATAGGCTAATGCAATGTAGATGCCTCAGCTATGCTGGGGTGTCTACAAACGGCAGGAAGACATCTACATTTGGATATTAAGCAACTTTTTACAATCAAAGTTCTATCAAAATATGATGTTAACAAAAAAAAAAAAAAAAAAAAAAAAAAAAAAAAAAAAAAAGAAGCAAATAAGTTTTATCCAGAACAAAAGGATAAAGCCCTTCAGGATTAGGGGAACACACTTCTGAAATGTACAGTTCATTATTATATTTTTCCTTTAGTGAGGCAGAATCACATTAGAAGTTACACTGATTGTTACTGCTATATGCAGCGGCTGAAGTCTTCTGTCATAAATTTACATGGCTGAAGTAATCTGTTTTAAGACACAATTGCTGAGAACTATTTTACAGCCTGACACATTTCACTGGGAAAAGGTTTGCAGGATATTAAAAATATTACACTTCACATAATCCTAGTGCCACAACATCACATATTTTTCTTCCTGCTTTTTCTACCTCTGGGTGCTATGTAGTGTTTGGATTTTCATCCATTTCTGTGTTGCCATTTAGCCACACATAATGTGTTTTATATGGGGATTTTCCCCTAGAAATCAATCATTAGTCATCTCAAATTTTTGCTTATTTCACTGAGACTCCAAATCCCAAGATTAACTGTTCTTTAATATGGTTTATTTAAGGGGATTTTTAATATCAACACTGACTAGAGTAACTGCAGCAAACCACTGGAGAGAGGCCCTACCTGATCTGATAGGGTATCTGCCAGTCAGGAAAGCAGCTCTGCTTGGAGTGCAGACAGCTGCTGCAGCAATGTGCTGAGTAAGTCTCACTCCGTCCTTTGCCAGGCCATCAATGTTAGGGGTCCTAAAGAGAAAAGTCCCATCTCTGATAAAAACGTATTACAGAGAAATTCATGGCATACCACTCCTCCTAGTTTTGTTGAGCATATCACCATCAAATTTACAAAAATATATTTACCTACAGCTCAGCTAGAGAAGCTCTGTGTTTTATATGTATTTTTGAGATACCTTGACACCTTAGAAATGAGTATTACAAGGATATATGTGTTTTCATAATAACTAACAAAAAAGGTGGGGGTGGGGGGAGATAAGGTATTTTGGCATGTCCCACACCAAAATCCCATGCAGCATAGGGAACAAGAGTCTGTTCACAACACAACATCCAAGACAATAATAGGCTAGAATAAGGACACATCATTCTCCCAACTAATCTATATACAGATTAATAACTGCACTAGGGATAAATATATCACATAGACTGACCTGTCATTTCATCATAAATCTACTAGAGTTGCTACCTGATATTAAATTCTAATCTCATTCCTTCATATTTCAACCCTGTAATTGTGGGAATTTATGTATTATACTCATGCCTGACAAGTACAGTGCACAGACACATTTGCAAAGTTCTAAGTCCCAGAAAGTTTCTCAAGCATGCCTGTATAATTATGACTCCAGTAAGAATTACTGTAGAACATGCATTTTGTCCATAGTTTGAAAAGAAGTGTATCTTGATAAATGAATAAATTAATAATGAATTTTAATGCTAAGTATCATTAGTAGGTCTTTTTAATGAAGTTCACCAGGAAGGGATAATTCATTTCATACCTTATTGTACCATTGCCATAGCAACCCACATCTCCTATACCAAGATCATCAGCCAGTATCAGTAAAAAGTTAGGTTTTGAAGGATCTGATACACAGGTTCTTGGGAATAGGCATAAAATTAGCCAAATGTTTAGGTAGCTCCTAAAAGCAAAAGTAAAGATGTAAGATTACAAAAAAAAAAAAAACAAAGGAAAAAAAAAAAGAAAAAAAAAGTAAGTTTTACAATAGATTTTAAAGTACTATTCTTAAAGTTTTATGGGGACTTAGTATAGGTGCAAACAGCAACCAAAGAGTGCCAGCAGATGGAGCTCCTGAATATGCACAGAGGTCCTTGAGTTTTATAATATTAGTATCATTTTCTGGGGTTATTATTACTATTATTATTTCACGCAGGAATTTTGTGTGTGAATTTCTTTATTGACATTTGCACTGATCTCTTTAGATGTTCCCAGCAGAATGAGTGGCTGGATAATTACAAGTGTCCTGGGGCACCCCCTATATGAAGCCATAGGATGCTTCTGTTAAAGCTTCTGGAATGAGTGGGACAGGAGCACAAAGGTGCTTGGAGTATTGCTGGTCATTATGGAAATGGTTTGGTTGTGGCATTTACTGCACCTCCTGCTACACACAGTGTCTGGAAAGTTCTCCTTAAGCCATGGGACCATCTCCAAAATCAAGGTGCAGCATTAGGCTTTAACCTGATTATCTTCCTAGGAGACCCTAAGACTATCTCTGCACATTTTAGTTGCTCAAAGTGTTTTCAATTGGAAGCTTACAGATGCTCACCTGAAGTAAAATACACATGCTAGAACACATCTTCTGACTGCTAGTTCCTTAGTAGATACTACATTAGTTCATTAGTAGATACTACCATATGATCAATGTATAGTGAGTGTATTATACCACAGACTATACATATTCCTAAACCTCTGTGTCTTATAAAAGTGGGCTAATAGGTCTAGAAATGCCATTAGAGCCAAACCTGTGTTAGCTACTATCAGATCCTCATTGAGTCAGAGTAATGGTAGCAAGGAAAATGTGAGATTATTTGCTTACATTTTCTGAAGCACAACACTTAAAATCCAGGAAAGGCATCAGTGAATGTCTTTCTTACCCTTGTTTTCCCTGGCAAACTTCATTGTTTTCCATTTTATGAAGCAGGTACATAGTCAGTCATATAAACTCTAATGAAAAAAGGAAAAGAAAGAAATCCAAACCCAGATCCAAATCCAAATCTGGTGATTTTGTATACAGTTTTTCAAGGTCTGGCCTGCTTCCAGCTGCTGCTAACTCCAGGGGGACTTGTGAGAATTTGGAAAGAAGGCAAAACGTTAATGGCTTTAAAAAAGTGCTAGAGGTGCCTATTACTCAATACATGCACAGAACTGTTGGTGTTCACTGAAAGGAATGCTGTTTTCACCATTTTACAAATGAGGTAAAACTATTGTCTTACCTTTTACTTAACCTCAGATCAACTTTAAAGAAAAGAATCTAACCTTTACTGTGAGCTTATAAACAACAAAAATTACATCAAATAAAAGCCATCCTGGAAACTAATGTCACTGTTAGGAAAGGGGCTGTATTGCTCTTTGGTTTAGATGCCACCTAGTAAATTCAAGAAGGGGTTTCTATTTGAATTGCTACTAAAAACTTCTAGAAATTAGAAGTTACTAGAAGCATAAATACCTTTATGATTATTTCCTCAAAGGACTCCAAACCTTAATGCCATTTGTGAATTTAACAAGCCAGTTTTTCTACCTGCCAACTTGATGAGGTCAACCTGGACTTTCAAAAATCTAGAACCAATATTTTTGTCTGCTAAGTATTTTTGTCTGGCATAGCAAATTTTATGAGTGGAAGTGATTTTCTCTGCTTGCTGAAATAGAGTCACTTTGGAAAAAAAGAATGGTTTGGGAAATGTACTTCTTCTCCTTGTGAATGACCTAAGTGATCTACAGATAATGTTGCACTGTAATTGTGCAAACTGTCCTGCAGAAGTACATGGTAAATTGGCTCTGGTGGGGACTGGCACATGCTCAGCTTTGTGGTGTACACTGAGGTAAATCAGATGCCATTCATTCCATCACTGAGAAGAGAGAAAAAAAGTGGAACTATCCCACACATGCAATATTCCTACTTTTCCACACTTCTTGCTAGTTCAAAACAGCACAAGAACAAAGATGTTGTTGGCTGTACCAAGGAACAGCTTGAAAGTGATATGAACATTTACGTTCTATAACAACTCAAGACATGTTTGTAAGCACAGAGTCACTTCTAAACACAGAGAACTTAAAAGTTTTATCCTGATTAATGAAAGACTTGAGGTTTTTTCTCCAAAAATAAAAAATTACAGCATTTTCTGAGAGCTTTTTTCCTGCCTTTTTAGTACACAAGGGTTCACCTGGAATGTCCAAGGAATACTAAACTGCCCAGAGCAGAGTGAATCCTGCCTTGTGCATTCCAGAGGACGAGCCATAAGACAAAAAAATTTGAGATACTGTCACTCTGATCAGGAAAACAGTATTAAAAGAGTCAGAACTTGGAGTTGATTTATGATTTCTCTAAGCAACATCTAGATTCTTACTTGGCTGCGGCTGAGACAATAAGGAGAAAAAAAACCCCAAAAAACCCCCAAAACCCATCCCCACCAAAATAAATAAACAAACAAATCCCCCAGCAAAACAAAAATAAGCCCCTAAATCAAACAACAAAACCTCCAAGAACAACAACAAAGCAACAAAAAACCCAACAAACTGGATCACTGTTAGTTATGGAATTTTCTACAGTGTTGATGTCTCCCTTTGCTGTTGGCAAGATCCTGAAAGGCAGTACTGAAAGCTCATCCTCCCTGCCCAGTGCATGGGTCAGAGACTAATGGGAAGGCACCAAAGTCTCTCTGACTCAATGCAGTGGCTGTTGGAAACAAGACCTTACTGTGAATGCAGATGCCAGGACCCCACTATAAAAAAAACAGGCTGTATTAATATGAAGCAAAGGACTTGCTACTAGGATTGCAAATCTTTTTGAGATGGCAGTGTAGTGGTGTTTCACTGTCACACCAGTGAGCTGAGGCAATGATGAGGCAAGTGCCTGAAGCCATTAATCTGTGACAACAAAGAATGACTGATAGCTCTGGTCATCACCTATAATGGCAATATCTTCATGTTGCTTTAACAATAATTAACAACAGGCAGAGCTCTGCCTTCCCAGCCACTGTTAGGCAGCATTACACTTGAGGAGCTTGTGGTACAGGATTAAGCCAAAACTATTACAGTGAAAATCTTCAGTCTACACCAAGTAGCTGAGGATCAGCCCCGCTGAGCTGTAGTGGAGCAAAAGAACCAGACAGATCTGAACGTCTAAGAAACCTCTTGACTTCCCAGGGTGTTGTTCAGCTTTCCAAACTCATTCAACAGCTCTGCTGTCTTCCACTTTTTCCCCACAGGGTCTTGAATCACAGCCAGTGGATCACAGCAGGCACATCAGTGTTAAGATAGAAACTTACGTAGAGTCCCTTAGAAAAACATACTTGAACTGAGTAAATACCATTGGATGTGGAACCATCTGATTTAAGACCATTTAAGGAGCACTTCTCTTGCTAAAGAACTACAAGAATGATCACACTTACTAAAAAACCACAATTTAAATATGCATATTCACATTTCTCTGTTAGGGTTTGGTTCCTTCTGAAAGCAGATCTCTCTCTGACAGCACTAGGATGTGATGAACCCAGTACTGGGCCCTAGGGCTTGTCCAGTTTCCTTAGCTATTAAATGAGAAAACCCAACATAATTTATAAATCTAACAACAGCCTCTAAGAATCAGTAATCTCTTACAGAAATCCAAGAATACATGACAGTAATTCCCTCTGTAAGCCAGTAAGCCACAATAAAATGATCATCAGGACTAATAAAAAAAGGCCAGCCCCTTTTAACAATGTGGAAAACAAACCCTCTTCTCAGTTATTCTTGTTGCAAAATCCTTCTTGCTCCTGGGTGTGCTGAGCAGTCCTGATTCTCTAAAAGGCGTGTGGGTGAACTCAGGCAGGAACTCGCTCCTGCTCTTTTTGCTCTCCCTTCCCCCTCTCTCCAGCATGGACACACTGGGATCCCTGCCAGCAGCAGCCAGCAAACTGGAACAGCCATCAAATGGGAACAGCTATGCAAGTTTTACATGAATTCCAGGCAAAGTACAAAGTCCTTATTGTTCAAATACTAGCACAGCATGGCTACTGCCTCTTCTCGATTTCCTATCTGTTTAAATTTGAGAAAATTTGTATAAAGTCTGTCACTGCTCTATTTCAGTGCTTCAGAAGGGATGATATAGTAACAAAATATGCTACAAATACTTTCGTTTCTCCCACACAGTTTTTCCAGCCTTCCAGATAAGATACAAGGACTTGCTTGTCCTCCTCTTCTTCAGTGACGTTGTTTTTCTGTTTTCATTGCATTTTCTAGAAAGGTAGATTTCTTCTTTCTAGATTTTCTTCACCTGTGCTGAAGATGTGTTTATTTGCAGTGTTTACCATCCATCCCCTTCTTTCAGATCTTAACTCTGGTGTAATACATTTTACAATTCAGAAGGTCTTGAGCAATTGCTTGGAGGAGCCTTATTTATTTGCTGACATTTTGGTTCTCTGTGCTACTTGAATACAGCAATTGCTGAATTTAAGATTGTGTTCCAGACAAGTCAGTAGGAGTCAGTGAGATGGAAAGATGAAACAGCTAAAACTATCAGATTCATATAATCCAGTGGCAGGGACAGTGAGGGTGGGAGACAGTATTTTATTTTTTTACGTCCTTGCACTTATGACTATATTCAGTTATTTTCATGTTGTGAGATTGGGCTACTTTTATTCATGCCTATTTGACTGTAATACTTATTTTGTATGACTGCTTAACAGCTTGTGATGCTTCTGGTGCAAAGACTTAAAAAAATTGTATTTCTCTAAAATTACATCATGTTTTGGAAATGGCAGATTTTTGAAAACTGCCATTAATACAGGTTAAACTGCCAATAATACAATTTACTTTGACTGGCTTTCATCCAAATTATAACTAAATTATGACTTTTTTTTGACTATTTACATCTTTCTCACCATGTGTTCACTACTGAAGATAGGCCCATACTGCTGCTGGTATGACCCAAAAATGCAAACTGAAACTGCACTGCCCCCAGCACCCCCACCCCACCTCCTCCCTGAAAAAAAAAAAAAAAAAAAAAAAAATCCCACACCTTCACATTTTTCCCTGCTAGCAAAACTCCATCTGGAAGCAAAGACCTCACATTCTGTTTCTTATCACTAGGTTACTGACCTAACACAGAGTTAACAGCCATGATTACTTATTGTCTTCCACAGAATTAAATTTTGAACAAGCACCTTTTCTAACAAAAAAAGTAAAGTAAATAAGTAACACAGAAGGAGAAGGGAGATGATTTTTGTCTCTGCAGCTTGAGCCAAGTAGTATTTCCTCCTCTTCAGTTAACCAATTTTTCATTGCACCTGAGCACAGAACACTGCTGTTTACTCCCTGCTGTAAATAAGCAAATTCTCTGCCAGCAAAAACATTTTTTTTTCCGAGTCACTCTGTGTTTTATACTGCTGTTTCCTTACTGGCTTTTTACACGTCTGAGTACTAAAACCAAACACTGGCATTCGTTTATCTCCTTTTTCCTTTGACAAGCTTTCTGAGTGAAGATAGACTAGTGAACATAAATACTGAAATAACACACACCAAATTTCATAAGATCACTTCTATCTCAGACATTGAGGGAAAAAAATCTGTTTGCCAGTCTTGTATCTCTTAAGAGTAGCAGGGCATTACAGTGGCACAATGAATCCTTTCAGAGCACTAATACATTCAGGTGGAACTGCAGAGGGAAGGTCTCTAAAAGAACCCTGGAAATAAGCAATCCCTGACAGCCCCTTTGAGTCACTCAGGCGTTCTTCTTTCCAAGACAGGGACAAGAATGCTCTCTACTCCTGCCTGTCTCATATTGAAAAGAAAAAAAGGTGCAAATTATGAAATCTGCTTTTACCTATGTCTTCAGCCCCATCCCAGCGCTTTATTTTCTCATGGTATTAAATGCTGTATATTTGCTGATCCCTGTGGTGATCCTGCTTGTGGATTAACATAGGGTCAAGGGCAAATTCCACCTCAGGTAACATACTGCTTACTGTTTTAAGTCCACATTCTGAGTTGTTATGTAGCAGTACTGTGCACTATAAAATAACCATGCTTAGAGCTCCAACTGATTATCTTTTCAGCAATCCATGGATAAAGACTGAGTATGTTCAGTTACTAAACACCAGTAAAATTTGAAGGCAATAGGGAAAGAAAGAGTATAAAACAGGACACAAACCTTTCCAAAATTCCCTAGAATGTTATTTCTGGAAATTGTGATAGAGGCATAGCCAGAGACTTCCATGCAAGAAACAGATCTCATTGCTTAAAAACATGACAATATTCAAAGAAAAAAAAATTGGCAGCTAGTATTACTGAGTGATTGTACAACATCTGCTTAATGAATCAGGTAAGTGCAAAACATCAGAAAAATACAAACAACTATTATGTAACTTCTGTTTGCAAGGCTCATATGGACTTACACCATACCTGAGCTCACAGTACCTTATTAACAATGATCTTGAGCACAGATCAGAAGCCATTGGCACAGGCAATCAGATGTTGAAGGAACCCCACTAAACTATAAAAATTAGTGCTTATGCTTTCCTTTTAATTATGTTCTAAATTGATACTGCTGTGCTCAATGTGCATCTACAGAATGACAGCATTATAAATTATAGCATCCTCCTGTTCAAGAAATCCCCTCCTTCAAGATTTCACAGGGAAACTGTATCTGTGCAAGAGCCTTACACCTCACACTATTTTTGCAAGGGTTTGTACAAAGGAAGAGACAATTTTAGTTCTGTGGTGCTCACAGTCAGGGAAGGATTAAAACAAAGCATGAGGGGAAATAATGACATAATCAAGATAGGGTTTACTTTCCTAAATGAGGGTAAAGAAAGGAATAACACAAACTTAAAGTAAATGAAGCATCAGGAAAACTGATTTATTTGAGTCCAGGGTTCTTGGGAAAAAAAAAAAACCCAGGTGGGTCAATTCAAACAACACAATTTTATTTCATCCAATTGCAAATGCATTCTGGAAGGAGCCAGACACTTGCCAACCTGAAGATTAGGGCAACAATGTAGCAATGCAATCCTGAAAATAAATTAGGCTTAAAGAATGCAACAGATTGGGCACAATCACCAGCGTGATGTCAGAGGTAAAAGAGGAATTAAATCAATCCTTCTAACTTTTTACAAGGGAGACCTTATTGTTCTCTAGAGCTACCTGAAAGGAGGTTGAAGTGAAGTTTCTCAAATAACAAGCGACAGCACAAAGGGAAATGACTTCAAATTGTGCCAGTGGAGGTTTAGACAGGATATTAGGAAAAATTTCTTCAAGAAAGGGTTTAAAGCATTGAAAAAGGCTGTCTAGGAAAGCATTATAAGGGTACAACCAGAAGTACAGAACATCAGTTATAAAGTCTGGTATCTCCACATAAGAGGTCATAGGACACCAATAACCCAGCCTAAACATTTCTGCAAAATGAGACCAAATCCCACAGAGGCTCAAAGAGCAGAAACTGGCCAGCAAATTTTGTGTCAACACACTGGCATTAAACAGTTTTGATTATCTGCAAACCTTATACAAAACTTACTATTTTCAGCAGCTGTTACTACATATGACTGCTCTACTATTTCTTTCTCCAAACTTGTCAACCATAAATGAACTAACTTCCAATAAAATTCATTCCACTTGCCAGTAATGCTATAAAATCTGCAGCTGCCTCAACAGTCACTTGAAGAGATTTAGCCAAAAAAGTTTTGCTTAGTTTATTGCTGGGCTGAATCAGATGGACTTAACTCAAAATGGATTGGTAACAACTTTCTCTAGCCAGCAACCTGGTAGGTTCTGGTTTGGGTTTCTTTTTCAGCTTTTCTTTACAGAAAGCGAGCTTCAAGCCTTAAATTGCTAGAAAAATAGTCCCTTCTTCCCCAACAGTAGCTTAGCATTGGGTAGCTCCACCATCGTTTATTTCACTTGTTGAATGTATTCCTTGATTAGAATGAATCATTCTTGATGTGTTGAATTAAAGAAAAAAAAAATACATTTACAGAGAATAAAAAAGAATACAAACCTCCACTTTAAAAATATCTCCTCATTAGCAAAATATTTATTGAAGCCAGGCATATCCCATGTTTTACCATTATCCCCCAAAGCCTGGCAACACCACTGCTCACTGGGAATCCTCCAGAGTGAAAGGATCTTCTCATTCTTAAAAATGCTAAGAGAAATTCAACTCCAACAGTAAAATTAGGAATTAATCCTTGTTAATTAAGCTAAAAGACTATATTTACAACAGCAAAAGAACTTGCCTTCTAGTTTTCTTTGTCTAACTTCAGATGCTGGAAGAAAAAATTTGCACACTACTGCAAAACCAGAGCAAAACTCCAAATTCTTTAACACTTATTTAAATATTTAAAAAGTGAATAACAATTATATGTATAGAAATATTTACTGATGATGCACAAAAGTCTCCCTCTGCTTAGCTGTTGTCTGAAAATAGGTGCTTGCTTTCCACCTTGTACAAAGGCATGCTACAGAACAGCTTCATCTGAATAAACAGTATATTAAAATGTATTTACAAATGTTAATCTCATATTACATTATGGCTCGGAAGGAAGTACATTCAGCATACCATATGCCAGCCACATACTGTTCCACCCTGCTGACCCCTTTTCTTCCATAGCTTCTAGGTATATGGATGTTCAGAAGAGGAGAGGTAACAAGTGGGGAAAGACAGAGAGAAGAAATTAAAAACTTCCAGCTGCTGTGAGCACAGCCACTTTCTCAGTGCTTGCAGCTGGTGAGCCAGAAACAGGTGCTGCTCATCAACCAAAATAAAAGGGATGTCCTTGCAAGAATGCCAAAAGTAAGAGATCATCAGTGGCCTACCTTTTTTCCCCTCCCACCT